GCAGCCCATAATGCTGTCAATTGGAGAGGACTTCGCCCCCTCTCCTTTCCTTTTTTGCCCAGGCACTAACCCAGTTTAGTTGCTCGCTCGTGCTGTGTGCAGTTACAGCACGGAGATGTGAGGTGTGCTGACTGGGAGGCCCTGTTGTGCGGCGGGTGAGAGCATCGGGAACAAAACGATCGGCCCCGGCCATTCATGTCCACGTTGATGCCTCTGTGTTTGCTTGCAAGCAAAGGCGGGAGCTAATTTGCAAGGCTGCCTTTGTGGAGCTGCCTTTTGATCAATGATTGCCTGTGTTAATGTTTCAGCAAGCTATTGATTTCTGCAACAGCTTTTGTTCCCTGAATATACGTGCAGCGGGTCTCTGCAGCACACACTATGCATGTTTGATTAAAGTTCAATTGACTTCGTTCCTGGTAAGGCCTCTGGTTGCCTCATTCCCTATTTGTAGAACCAAAGCGTTTCCCGACATGTTCTTTTGTTTGTGCTCAAGACCTAGCCACCCATGCAGTCACCAGTATGCTGTTTCTAATCCTCCTAGATTCGCTCCATTCCAGTGTTTAATCCCCTCGTAGACATTACAGTGGTTGAGAGGCAGCTAATAAAACCTGGCCTGGATTTTTTTTTAAGTCAACTTCATTGATGTGTAATTGGTATGCATACCATTTATACCATAAAAATGCACCCACTTTACGTTCAGTTGGGGGCACAGTTCAAACAATTTGATAACTGTACCTCCATGCAAATAACACTATAGTCGGTTCATACGATACTCTCTTCACCCCAAAAGGTTTCCTCGTTCTTTTATAGGTAGTTTTCTACTTCCTTGTCCTCCAGGCTCATTTACTTTTTGTGATTGTAGATTTGCCTTTTCTGGAATGGAATTATACAGTCAGTACCCTTTTGTATCTGGCTACTTACATTCAGTGTGATGTTTTGAGATTCATCCATATTGTCAAGTTGATCAGTAGTTTGTGCCTTTTTACTGCCAAATAGTATCTAGTAAATGTGTGCACAGTAATATGTTTATCCATTCTTCTGTTGAGGGGTGTTTGGATTATTTCCAGCTTTTGGCTATGAAGAGTAAAGTTTCTGTGAACATCTGTATAAAAGTCTTTGCGTGAGCATATGTTTTTATTTCTTTTGGGTAAACACCTAGGAGTGGAATCAATTGCTGGGTCATATGGTAAATGTTTGTTTAGCTTTGTAAGAACTGCCAAAGTTTTACAAAGTGGTTGAACCATTTTATATTCTCACCAGCAATGTATGAGAGTTCTAGTCATTACCCCATCTTCCTGTATTTTCATTTTCCAAACTAATTTGTAGGCCTCTAGTGGAGACTCCTTCTGGCCCGGTCCTTTGATCCTTGGTACTCAGATAATAGAATTTGTTCTGGACTCCTTTTCCTTGTTTTGGTTTTTAAGATTTTATTTAGTTGTCAGAGAGAGAGCATGCACTATCACAAGCAGAGGGAGAAGCAAGCAGGCTCCCCGCCGAGCAAGGAGCCCGGTGTAGGGCTCGATCCCAGGACACTGAGATCATGACCTGAGCTGAAGGCAGACACTTAACTGACTGAGCCACATAGGCGCCCTCCTTTTCCTTGTTCAAAAGCTATTCCTTCTTTCTTTTTTTAAGACTTTATTTGAGAGAGAGCATGCGTGCACAAGAGTTCATGAGTCTGGGGGGAGGAACAGAGGGAGAGGGAGAAGCAGACTCTCCGCTGAGCAGGGAGCCCAACTCAGGGCTCAATCCCAGGACCCTGAGATCATGACCTGAGCTGAAGGCAGATGATTAACCAACCGAGCCACCCAGGGACCCCTAAAAGCTATTATTTAAGTGTTGACAAAAAGTTTTTGTTATTTCAATATTAGGTTTCTTTGTCATGTCCTAATTTTCTCACATACTCTAGGAGTACACAGTGCAGGAGTGGAAGTTAAAGTTGGGAACCTGTGCTTTTCTCCTGAGCCTTTTTCTGTCTGGTGTCATAGCCTCACTGAACTCTGGCTTCCCCGATTTTATCTGCAAGTTATGCTGTCTTTTAAAACCATTTGAAACTCTTTCAGACATTCATATTTGAGAAATAGAAATACATTTGACCTTAACACGGGTTAAAACGGCTCAGGTTCACTTACAAGCAGATTTTTTTTTTATGTAGTCCAGCACTATATATATTTTTTCTTTTTTATGATTTTCTTATTAGCATTTTCTTTAGTTTACATATTGCAAGAATACAGTAAATAATATACACAATGTGTGTTAATTAACCGTTTATATCATTGGTAAGGCTTCTGGTCAGCAGTAGACTGTTAGTTTTAGGAAAGTCAGAAGTTGTACCTGGATTTTTGGCTATGGGTGGCGGCGGAGGTGGGGTGGGCGCCCCCACCCCGATCCCTTGTAACTGCGCGAGGCAGTACGGAGCTAGACCAGCGCTGCGTGGAGACGTCAGTGCAGCTGCTAACTGCCGTCCGCTCTAGCTGAGATTTAGCAGAGACCCTCATTTTCTCTCCCATTTTTTATTCCTTCTGTGTCCTGCAGCTTCCCATTTCCTTTTACATCCCAGGCCTCTCATCTGCTGGCCCCTAAAATGACTTCAGCTAGAGGAGGCAGTGGGAGGTACCACTTCGGGGTTTCACATTCTTCCTTCTAGTTTTGGGATTGGGCCATGATTTACTGCACTGGTTGTCTTTTTGAACCGATAGAGCATGTCACTCTGACAAAGTATTGAAGGGTAACAGTGACTTGCCTTGGCTTTTGTTCTGTATTTTCTCATAGGAAAACCAGAGTCCGATCAGTTTTATATCAGCACAGGTCTCTTAATCCCCTAGTGGATTTATGAATTTGTTCCCTCTAGCCAGCCAACACCAAAAGATCAGTACAGATAAGTGACTTTCCAAGTCAGGAAAATAGGAAGTGAAGAGGCAGGAGCCAGGAGGTTCTCGGATCATGACCTAGGGGCTCAGGATGCTCCAGTCACCACAGGGACAATTGTAGCCTACATTTGTGGAGTAACATGTGATAGACAAACAGGACAGAAATCCAAAGGCATTCCTACATTTTCCCTTATCGCTCAGTTACTGTCTCATGGAACTGAAAAGAGTGTGGTGAGCTTGCAGACTTGTGTGTGCTCGTCCTTGGTGGTTGACTCCTGGCCTCCTTGGCCTGGGGTCATGCTTCATCTGTTAAATATTGGCAGTCACTAGCATTTTGTTAAGTGGCACTTGGAAAGACTGAAACATAACCACAGCTCCAAGAGATGCATGCTATAGGCTTACGGGAGCCAGTCAGGAGTTCCTTTTGAATCACAGGCTCCTTTAAGGATCTGACAACAGCTGTGGTCCCACTTAGAAAATGCACAGGCACAGAACCCAACTCTGAGTAGTGAGCACCCGGCACACACATACTGCCTACTTTGCAGAAACCATTTCCCCACCTAAAAGCTGTCCACTTCTCTACAAACTCACTTCTCATCGTTCTAAGGCCATCGCTTTCTGGGGGGTGTTTTAATGAAACCTCATCTGACTGGATGCTCCAGCGATCACAAGAGTCTGTCGCCTGGTATCTGCCCTTGTTTGTCCACTTTCGTCTCCCCAGTACTGGTCTTTCCAGCTAGATCTTAGGTCACTAGAGAACAAAATCTTTGTTTCTCTCTCTTGGCTCCTCCATTCACAGGGCACTGAGCCTTCCGTGAGGCAGTGTGGTGCTCTGGCCAAGTGGCTCCCACGTTGGGGTACGAGTTGCCCACAGGGCGGCTTCCCAGGATACAGTAGTCAGCCACGCTAATTGATTGTCCACAAGATTGATTCAGTTAGAGAAAATCAATATGAACTACACACTTTCGCTGCTTTAATGGTTTTTTTGTTTTTTGGTTTTTTTAATTCCAGGTAAAGGTACTTTATCTTGGGATGTTTAAGAAATCGGTATTGTGTCAACCAGGGTTCGCCGAACATGCCATTCACCTGTTGGTGTGTATGGTGTGCCTGCTGAGCTCTTGGAGGTGGGGGTAGCAAAAAGTGCCCCTTTCTTATTTCTAAAGGTTTATTTGTTTGAGAGAGAGTATGCGCGCCCTTGCCCACCTGGGAGGTGGCAGAGGGAGAGAATCTCAAGCAGACTCCCCACTGAGCGCGGAGCCTGACAAGGGGCTGGATCTCACGACTCCGGGATCATGACCTGAGCCAAAAACCAAGAGTTGGACACTCAACTCATTGAGCCACCCAGGCACCCCGAAAACTGCCCCCCTTTCTAAAAGTTGCATTTGGGCTCATACCCCCTTGCTGTGTTTTGTTTTTTAAGGATTTCTTGCCTTCCTTTCTGCTGGGCCATGGAAAGAATAGCTCCTTCTGCCATAAAGGCTGGCCTTGTGACATATGGCACTTTCCCTCTGCGTCAGCACCACTGTGTCTGTCCCTCAGGGTCTTCCCTTGTCTTCACTGTCAGGATGCTGTACTAGCTTGTCCCGATGTGGGCACTCAGATTGGGGTAGAGGCTGCGGAGCAGTTTTCCTGGATTTGGGGTCTCTGTTTTTCTTGACCCCAGTTCCGCATCATCTCAGTTGTTTCCTTTGCTTCTTTCTGGAATAATGTAACTGTCCAGGCATTTCCTTGTCATACCTGTATGATTTCAGTGGAATGCTGTGAAGAAGACCTCTGTGCACACACACAGCTGGAGGGCTGGGATTTTCCTTCTTTTCGATTGTTTATTGGCGTACCTCCATGGTGGCATCTGGCACATGGTACGCACTCAGCAAATACTTGTTGAATGAACGAATGTTCTTGAAATCTAAAAATTCTGCTCTGCTGGGCTGAGGGGACAAGCCCATTCACCCAGTTAGTGGGCAGCTCACAGGTGTGTCTTGAGCAAGCCCCATTCCTCTCACGACTGTCCTTTGTGCTCATTTCCAGCACAGCTGTTAGGAACCAGCTGCCTCTCCTGCCGTGCTGTGGGAGCGGGAAAAGCAAAGCCCCTCTGAACCCTTCCGTCACATCCAGCCTTCTCTCCTGCAGGGGGAGCTGATCACCTTCTATTACTACTGGAAGAAAACCCCCGAAGCAGCCAGCTCCCGGGCCCATCGGAGGCACCGCAGGCAGGCCGTGTTCAGGAGGATCAAGACCCGCACCGCATCCACACCCGTCAGCACACCCTCCAGACCCCCCTCCAGCGAATTCCGTAAGTGAGGGACTTCTCCCACGCAGCCACACGTGCACTGTCCCAGCTCTGGGCCCACCGTCACAGGCATCCTTGTGACAGTACAGGTTGGGGACATAGTGTGTGCTGTGCATATGTGCAGAGTCCGCACCCAGATGTAGCGCGGACTTTGGGGTTTTGGTAGGAGAGTTTTACGAATTATTCATGCATTTAAATTTTTAAAATAAACTCAACATCATTTTAATTTTTTAGGGAAATGTAAGTCTTGACCATCTCTCGGGGTGTTTTCAGTAACTTCGGAGGAGGTTGTTCACTTCGTAGATGACGTACTGTCTGAGTCTCATTGCATTGGTATTGTGTTAGCAGTAAGAGCAGATTAACATTTTCTTCTTTTTCCTCCTGCTTTACCAAGATCCTCCTCTTGGTCCCAGTGTGATGTGCAGTCTAATATGATACCTTCCTAACCCTTAAAACCTAGCAAACAGCAGTGGGCCTAGGGGTTCTGTCCTGGCCCGTGGCACTCAGCCTGAGGGCTGCTTATGTTGCACTTGCAAACGAGAAATAATCCATTTGTGCCGGGTGGGGTGGGGGGAGGGGTGTAGGACTCGATGGGGAGGGAGCTCCTCAGGATGCCTGGATGTGTCAGGGAATGTATATGGATGTGCTTCGCCTGTTCACATTCCCAGTTGTGGGTATCAGTGCCTCCCACGCCAGGATTCAGGTGTGACACCAGTCTCCAAAAATAGGGTAGGGCAGACCCTTGGGTACCTACCGCACACGGGTTCTTCGTTCTGATCTCTTGGCCCTGAGGAATTCAGAGTGGTCCTTCATGAACACTGCCTCACCTCAGCCTTCCAGGCCGCTCTGACAGGTGACTTAGAGCCTGGGGCAGGTCACAGGTGGTCCCAGTCTTGGCCAAGCATGATGGTTTCTCCCCCACCCCTGTTGTGTTCCTGCCATGCCCAGTGGACTTGAGTTCAGCCAGCGAGGATGACTTTGACAGTGAAGACAGCGAGCAGGAATTAAAGGGGTACGCCTGCCGCCACTGCTTTACCACCAGTAAGTGGGGATCGGGGGTGGGGGGAACAGTGGGAGCATTCACCGAGACAGGCCAGGCTCAGGCACTTTCAGGTTCTGAACATTTCATGAATCCAGTTGAAGACCTGCCAGAGTGTCATTGGCTTGACATTTGCATTGTGCTTCAGGGTTACTTGAGAAAGCAGAAATCTGTGTATTTTGTCACTCCCCCGTTTACAGTCAGTGTGGTCAGGGTTGGGGTACCTGTGTTTCTGGGAAGCCTATTGCCATCTCCTCCTGGGCACCATGAGATGGGGAGGGGGGTGGATGTTCCTGAAATCCTCTCCCGCCCTGGGAGAGAGCAGGCAGCAGCAGAGTGAGTGATGGGCATCTGTCTGAGCCCATGGAAGGGCCCCCCACCCGCATTCCTCTTCCCTCACGCAGCCTCCAAAGACTGGCACCACGGGGGCCGGGAGAACATCCTGCTCTGCACAGACTGCCGCATCCACTTCAAGAAATACGGCGAGCTCCCCCCCATTGAGAAGCCTGTGGACCCTCCCCCATTCATGTTCAAACCTGTCAAAGAGGAAGATGATGGGCTCAGTGGGAAGCATAGCATGAGGACTCGGCGCAGTCGTGGCTCGGTGAGTCCTCAGGGCAGGCGACCCGGGCCACTTCAGGTTACTAGGATGCTGGGGCTTGTGCTTCCCAGGAGGCTGGGAAGCGATTCATTTTAGGTAGAGAACCAGCCCCCTTCAAGAAGTGATTGGCTCAGAGGTATTTGTTTTGTCTGTGAGTCTGGAAAGAGCCTCTGCTTTCTCCCTCCCTGCCTCGTGTCGTCAGTGGGGTTCACGTCCTGAGCTTACTTTTACAGGGAACTCTTAGGCATCAGTGTCTGGTTCAGTGCAGGCTTTCCAAGTCTCCCAACTTTCCTGTGGACCCTGGGCCCACCACCTGTAGTGTGACATCTCTCTGCTGTTTAAAACTTGCAGGTGCTTTTCTTTTCCCTAATACTTGATTCAGTTTTAGAAACTTTTGGTACATTTATCTCCTCACTGTATAGGCTTTTTCATAAAGAGGTTTTGTTTTCCAGGTTGGAAATGTGGCAGCAGGGACCTTTGGGAGCAAGGGTTTTCCCAGCTCGGGAGCTGGGGAATGCCCCAGGGTCCTTCCCTGTGGCTGGCCTCCCCAGTGGCCCTTACAGGCATGTAGATGGCACCGTCCACCTTCCTCTGACCCTAGCATCTTGTCAAGGCTGCTTGTTCCCAGGCCACCCGGCAGATGGACTGACGTGCATCATTGTCCCCCCATCTCTTCTGAGCCCCATGGCTTTGCAGAAACGTGCTCAAGTGCTTGTGGTTTTAGGAGCTGAGCTACATTATTTGACAGCTTCTCCCTTTGGGTCACTTCTCGTACTGGCAGGTGAACTCAGCAGGTGTTTGGTTTGGTTTGGGTGAGGAAGTAGGCAGTTCTGTGGAATAAGCAGAGTGAGGTGATTTGAAGCAGAGCGTATGATTGTCATTCTGGAGAACTTGGCAGAGTAGACGGCCCTTGCTGACTTCTGCCCCTCAGAAAATCTTGCTCGTTTCTACCACACAATATCTAGGACCATCCCTAGAGAGGAGTGCTTTGGGTTTAAGAATTGCTCTTTTCCATGTGAACCCACCCCTTCACCCCCTCCTCCCCTAGCTCCATATTGACCCCCCACACAGCGAGGGACAGCCAGAGGTGCCTGTGCTTGCCAGGGCCTGGTATTTGCCATAATGCTGGTGGTGAGGTCTGCTCCTGAGGCTCCTGCGTGTGTGCTGGGGTCTAGTCTCACCAGCCTCCGGTTTGGGTGGGCAGATGTCTACACTGCGCAGTGGTCGAAAGAAGCAGCCAGCCAGCCCTGATGGTCGCGCCTCGCCCATCAATGAAGATATCCGCTCCAGTGGCCGGAACTCGCCCAGCGCTGCCAGCACCTCTAGCAATGACAGTAAAGCAGAGACCGTGAAGAAGTCAGCCAAGGTGAGGTGCCCGTCCCCAAGGCTAGTGGGCCTGCTTGGCCCTGCCTCTCATTAAAACCCCAGGTTGCTGGAGTTGATGTTCAGCTCCCTCAGATAAGGGCTGCAGGATGTTCCTGGAGGCTCCCTGGGCATCAGCATTGCCCTAGACTAGGGCTGCAGACTGCGGCCTGGGGTCTAGGGTCTGGAGAAAGGGGGGGTCCAGTGCAGCTCCCAGCACTGACCTTTGGGGGCCATCTCTGCCTTGAGTTTCCCAAGGCCTCAGGGGCAAAGGGTAGGGTGTAATTGGAAAGGCTCCTCCCTCCTCTCCGCTCCCCCACCCCCCACGCCAAGTTAATTCCACCCCCAGATACTTGTTTTTTCCTGGCCTCAGCTAGTCCCTTCCAGAGCTTTCTTGCTTCTGGAGATGGAACTCCGAATTCGGGAGCAAGGTGTCAGCAAACCATGGTCATTTACCCGCTGAGGCTGATGGGACATCCTCCCTTGGCCTGATGCCCCTCTTGGGCTTTCCCACTGCAGAAGGTGAAGGAGGAAGCCTCATCCCCCCTTAAGAGCACCAAGCGCCAGCGGGAGAAGGTGGCCTCTGATACAGAGGAGGCCGACAGGACCAGCTCCAAGAAGACGAAAACCCAGGTGAGATGCGCAGCTGAGCCACTGTGACTGTAGCTGGCAGCTAACACCCCTTGAGAGGCCTTGAGCCCAGATTCTTCCTGGGGCCTAGTGGTGCCCCATCTCCTAGGGAGGGACCTAGATTGGTTCCCGAGACTGGCCGGGTCAAAGGAGGACCTGCGGTCTCTGGGGCCAGGCTTGCCGCCTTATTCGCTAGCAACGCAGGGCAGCAAGAGGCTCTGCTCTCCTAGAGCTTCATCCCTACCATCTCTGGCCCTAGGAGATCAGCCGGCCCAACTCGCCATCGGAAGGCGAAGGAGAGAGTTCGGACAGCCGCAGCGTCAACGATGAGGGCAGCAGTGACCCCAAAGACATCGACCAGGACAATCGCAGCACGTCCCCCAGCATCCCCAGCCCCCAGGACAACGAGAGCGACTCGGACTCTTCGGCCCAGCAGCAGATGCTGCAGGCCCAGCCCCCAGCCTTGCAGGGGGCACCCGGTGCGGCCCCTCCAGTGCCCTCCACCGCCCCTCCAGGAACCTCCCAGCTCCCCACACCAGGGCCCGCGCCCTGTGCCACTGCAGGCCCTCCACAGGGCTCCCCCTCGGCCTCCCAGCCCCCCGGCCAGCCGCAGGCCCCGGCGGTTCCTGCTCCCCATGCTCATATCCAGCAGGCGCCCACCCTGCACCCACAGCGGCTGCCCTCACCACATCCCCCGCTCCAGCCTCTGACCGTGCCAGCTGGCCAGACTGCCGCCCCACCTCACAGCCAGCCCCCACTGCATAGTCAGGGCCCAGGTGGCCCTCACAGCCTCCAGGCCGGGCCCCTGCTGCAGCACCCAGGCCCCCCCCAGCCCTTCGGCCTCCCTCCCCAGGCCTCCCAGGCGTCAGCTCTCCCTCACGCCTCCTTGCAGCCCACAGCCTCGCAGTCAGCGCTGCAGCCCCAGCAGCCCCCACGGGAGCAGCCCCTGCCGCCAGCCCCCTTGGCCATGCCCCACATCAAGCCCCCCCCCACCACACCCATCCCCCAGCTGCCGGCCCCCCAAGCCCACAAGCACCCGCCTCACCTCTCCGGGCCCTCGCCCTTCTCCATGAATGCCAACCTCCCACCCCCTCCAGCACTGAAGCCCCTGAGCTCCCTGTCCACACACCATCCCCCTTCAGCCCATCCCCCTCCCCTGCAGCTCATGCCGCAGAGCCAGCCCCTGCCCTCCTCCCCTGCACAGCCCCCAGTGCTGACCCAGAGCCAGAGCCTGCCTCCTGCTGCTGCCACTCACCCCCCAGCGGGCCTCCACCAGGTGCCCCCCCAGCCCCCATTTGCTCAGCACCCCTTTGTCCCTGGGGGACCTCCTCCCATCACCCCTCCAACCTGCTCCTCCACCTCCACCCCACCTGCGGGACCTGGCCCCTCGGCCCAGGCACCCTGCTCTGCTGCTGTTCCCTCGGGCGGCAGTGTACCCGGGGGGACAGCGTGCCCGCTCCCCACGGTCCAGATCAAGGAAGAGGCTCTGGATGATGCTGAGGAGCCTGAGAGCCCACCTCCCCCACCTAGGAGCCCGTCCCCCGAGCCCACTGTGGTGGACACCCCCAGCCATGCCAGCCAGTCAGCCAGGTACTGGCCCCCCAGGAATGCGGGCACGGCCAGGGCAGGGACGGGCTGGGCAGCTGGGGCAGGCTGCGGCTTCGGCGGGGCCCCAGCGAGAGACGTGGCCTTCTTTAGGTTCTACAAACATCTGGACCGTGGTTACAACTCGTGTGCGCGGACAGACCTGTATTTCATGCCTCTGGCGGGATCCAAACTGGCCAAGAAGAGGGAGGAGGCCATCGAGAAGGCCAAACGGGAGGCTGAGCAGAAAGCACGAGAGGAGCGGGAGCGCGAGAAGGAGAAGGAGAAAGAGCGCGAGCGGGAACGAGAGCGGGAGCGGGAGGCAGAGAGAGCAGCCGTGAGTTGGGGGTCAGCCAGGCAGCGGGGGGTCCCTCCCCAGCTCTGCTCTGCGGCTCACTCTCCGATGCACAGCCCCATCCAGGGCACAAGGGAAGCTGTAGGCACAAAGCAGACTGTCCCAGCAGCGGCTGGACCATGTCCTTGCGGCCCAAGCCTGTCCCTGGCCATGGCTGGGGCCTGCTCTTGGTGTTGGGTGGATGGACCACGTTGGCTGGCCAGTGCGGGATGGCAGCAGGGCCAGGCTCAGCTCTGCAGAGTGAGCGCCTGCCCCTCACACCTTCCCTTCCTTCAGCAGAAGGCGTCCAGCTCAGCCCACGAGGGCCGCCTCAGCGACCCCCAGCTCAGTGGTCCCGGCCACATGCGGCCATCCTTCGAGCCGCCACCAACCACCATTGCCGCGGTGCCTCCATACATCGGGCCCGACACGCCTGCCCTTCGGACTCTGAGCGAGTACGCTCGGCCCCACGTCATGTCACCCACCAACCGCAACCACCCCTTCTACATGCCCCTCAACCCCACTGACCCCCTGCTGGCCTACCACATGCCCGGCCTCTACAACGTGGACCCCACCATCCGGGAGCGGGAGCTCCGGGAGCGGGAGCTCCGGGAGCGGGAGATCCGGGAGCGGGAGCTACGGGAGAGGATGAAGCCAGGCTTCGAGGTGAAGCCCCCGGAGCTGGACCCCCTGCACCCAGCCACCAACCCCATGGAGCACTTCGCCCGGCACAGCGCCCTCACCATCCCCCCCACTGCGGGCCCCCACCCTTTTGCTTCTTTCCACCCGGGCCTGAACCCCCTGGAGAGGGAGAGACTGGCCCTGGCGGGCCCCCAGCTGAGGCCCGAGATGAGCTACCCTGATAGACTGGCAGCCGAGCGGATCCACGCCGAGCGCATGGCATCGCTGACCAGCGACCCTCTGGCCCGCCTGCAGATGTTCAACGTGACTCCACACCATCACCAGCACTCACACATCCACTCGCACCTCCACCTCCACCAGCAGGACCCCCTCCACCAAGGTGGGTGACCCCCAGGCTGGGCTGTGAGAGGGCGACGTGGGTTGAGTTCTGGTCTAACAAGGCACAGGGCAGAGGCAGAGGCGGTTCTTTCCTGAAGGAATCCCTCATTCCTGACAGCTGAGAATGATCTGCGTCTGTCTGGGAACCCTCTCGTTGCTTCCCTCACCCACAGCCTTTGTCTCCAAGCCCAGCCCCTCTGTTCTCCAGAGCTACAAGTCCCCAGAACGCTGAGTCACCCTGGGGCCCTTTGCTTGCAGTTTCCTGGATAAAGCTTAGGTTCTTGGCCCCGTGCCTCCGGTGCCGGGGATAGTGGGAAGCAGCCTGTGTTCCCGGAGTCGGGTTAAAGGCAGGAAGTGGGGCCTGAGGAGCAAGGCAGGGCATTGGAGCCCAGGTGGAGGCAACTGAGACACCCAGGGAGGCTCTAGGGTATCTTTCAGTGAGAACTTAAAAGAACAGTCCTCCTGTTCCCTCTTTGGGTACAGGGCCTTGGCTCATCTGGTCAGGGCCACCCAGTCCCATCGTTCTGGGAATGAGAGCTCCCAAAGTTCTGCCGACTGGCCAGCTGGGTTAAAGGCAGAGACAGGTACAGCTGGGGTCCCTGCTCCATCTATAGCTCTGCAGACCGGTTAGGTGGGGTGGGAGGAGCTGGGCTGCACTCGGGAACCAAGGCCTGCCATGGAGTCCCAGGGCACAGCCCACATGCAGGACTTCACAGTGGCCAGACCTGCCTCCATGCTGGGGAGGAAGGTGACTGATAGAGCAGGGCCCAGAGGTGGGGAGGGCAGCACCTTGCTTTCCACCTCTGCACCGAGCCCTGATGTGGGGAGCGTGGACTCTGTCCAGGCAGATCGTTCTGGGGAAGCCTGGGAGCTGTCCCTTTCACTCCATGGTCCTGACACCTGGAACTTTGATGCCGCCCGGCATGGGCTGTCTAAGCCCCTGTGTAACCAGTGGATGTGTCTTAGTGCTGTTTGAGGACAGGCAGTCATTCGTCCATACAACATTCATCTACTTGACAGATAGTTACGGAGCACCTGTGGTATGTCAGGCACAGCTGTAGATGCCGATAACCACCCTGTCCATTTTACCGGCCCAGTCTGGAGGCAGTCAGTCAGTATATCTTGGAGTGTGAAAAGCAGGCCGGGGTCTGGAGGACAGCTAACCAGGGGGAGGGAACAGGGGAGCTGGGAGCAAGGTTGTAATTAGAAAGCCATGAGAAAGCCTTGTCAAGAAGGTAACTTTGGAGTGGGCTTGAAGGTGGGACGGGACATCTGCAGGGAGAGAGGGACAGGGGCCCAGGGCCCAGAGAGGAGAGAGCAGGGCTTAGTGAGCCTCTTCCCTGCCAACGGCATGCAGCATCTGGCAGCACCCACTCTGCCGACCCCCTGTGGGTTCTGTGGGTGAAGGGCCGGGGAGGCAGCCCTGGGGTCCCTGTGGACCTGACAGGGGCAGGGCAGGCCTAGGGTGTTCGGCCAGGTGGGCTTGGATGACCAAGGGTCCTCAGTAAAACAGCATGGAGGAGACTCTGCTTGTAGGGGTGCAGGGTGCTCAGGAATAAGAGGAGGAAATAGCGTGTGAACTTACCTCTGTGTTACTTTCTGGAACTTTACTGCAGGTTGGGGTGGGGGCAGCCACTTTGGGTCAGGATTTTTGGTGGCCCTGGTGGCCGGGAGCCGGCTGTGGTGAGACGGAAGTCACTGGTAATTACGGCCGAGGAGGGCGGACACGGCGAGAGCCCCAGAGCCCTGCACCACTTGTATCTGGACTTCTGCCTCTTTTTTAGGTTCAGCAGGCCCAGTGCACCCACTGGTTGACCCCCTGACCGCTGGCCCTCACCTGGCTCGCTTTCCCTATCCCCCTGGCACCCTCCCCAATCCTCTGCTTGGACAGCCCCCCCATGAGCACGAGATGCTTCGTCATCCAGTGTTTGGTAAGAATGCGCCTGGGGGAGGATGGGCCTGTTTGAGAGTTGGGTTGGTATCTGATGTCCCGTTCATTCATTCATTCATTCATCCACGTATTCAACAAATACCTTCTGTGTGCTGAGAATCCACCTGGGAACCAGGCAGGCAAACCCCTGCCCTCAGAAAGCTGGGGGTGAATGAGTACAAATGAGTCCTTAGAGCCAGGACAAGGACAGTGTGAGGTGAAGGAGTGACAGAGGTGCTGAGTCTAAACCGAGGGTTCAGAGTAGGCCTCTCTGAAGAAGGAAGAGCCTGAAACCTTGAGGACGAGGAAGTGCATATTCCATCCTCCCCTGACCTCCACCCCCAGGGTCAGGGGATCCAAGGGACAGTACTTTGGGCCTCCTCTCTCTCCGGGGGGGGGGGGGGGGGGGCCTCTGCTCCATGGGGCCCTGCGGAGTAAGTAGGCTCTTGCTCCTCCCCGCAGGGCTATCTCCTGACCTGACCTCCTTGCTGGCCTCATCCTGGCCACTCCCCTGGCCTTTCTGTATTGAAGGCTGTTTTGTGTTTGGCAGGCACCCCCTACCCCCGAGACCTGCCTGGGGCCATCCCACCCCCCATGTCTGCAGCCCACCAGCTGCAGGCCATGCATGCGCAGTCAGCAGAGCTGCAGAGACTGGCCATGGAACAGCAGTGGCTGCATGGACACCCCCACATGCATGGTGGCCACCTACCAAGTCAGGAAGATTATTACAGGTGAGGTGGGGCGGGGCCAGAAGGGGGTGGGGGCTCGCTCTCCCATGTACCCCACCTGTGGGCTCCCATGTACCCCACCTGTGGGCCACTGACCCAGCCTAATGGTTGCCCCTCCTGGCCGTGCCCACAGTGCTCCTCCCATATCAGCAAGTGCCAGACTCCTCCCCATGGCTCTGCAGGCCCTGGCCTCTTGGCCCTGGAGGGGACTCCCACGGAGCCATCTTGATGGGAGGGAGGGGAGGGGGGAGGGTCACCTGCATGGGAGGCCACTCCGGTCATCTGCACCCTCGAGCTGCATGCCTGGTCCCACCTTCCCAGGCCTGGTGCTGAATACTTTCTCCCTTTGTTTTCTTTCTAGTCGACTGAAGAAAGAAGGTGACAAGCAGTTATAAGTTATTTATTTGTTAGCGCTGGCTGTGGAAACCCCAATTCTTGGGGGGAGAAACAGGACTTTTTACATACAATATGAGCTACAAAAGCAAAAAGAATATCTTCTAAAGATTTCTTTATATATTTAAAAACCCCACCACTAAAAATGTTATCAGCATAATAGTGTTTGTTTGTAGAGAGGATTCCTTGAGACTGGTTTGGGTCTCCCTGCATGACAGTCCCCCAGAAACTTAGTGTGTCCTGGACTGGACTGAACATTCAGAAAACTTTCCCTGCAATCTTGGGGTTTGGCTTTAGTTTTCTTTTCCTTCCTTGATTTCTTGGTAGGTGCTAGAATCCAGTTCACACCCTTCACTGTGCGTGCAGACACACTCAGTTACGTGTGTTCCAGAACCCACAAGGTTTGCAGATAGGTGGCATATGAGTTTGGAATCCAAGAGCTATAATTTTTAAAAAAACTTTTATTTTAATACATTGTAGGAGATCTTCATAATTTGAGAAAGTTCTGCAGCATGGCTTTTTACGTCTGTAAATAAATAATTTTAGAATGGCATTTTTTTTTTCTTCCACAAACTATTCTGATCTATTTTTTCCAGCCATGTCACTAATTGTGAATTCCTACCAGCTATTGACAGAATACAGAGTTGATTTTTTAATAAAAAGTTATATATAATTATCCCTTTAATTAAAGGGAGCAGATGGGCGTTACTAATTGCAAACGGGCAGAGGCTTGGGACGCGGTGCGGTCACAGCAGTGAGCATCCAGGGGTCTGCAGGGATGATGTTACGGACCGTTTCTTTGTTTTGCTGCCTTGATTTTCACTTCTGTCTGTTCCTAGCTTGTGCTTTGCCAGAGGTGCGGATATCTGTTAGATGAAACTGTTTTTATTTTGTCCCAGGAGTGCAAGAGTTAAATTTCCACCTTGTTCTGTCTCTGCAGGATAGAAAGCACATGTTTCTGTGTGTCTGGTTGTAGATTTCCTTCTAGATTTCTATGCACACACATTTGGTTGTTTTGGATGAACTGCCTTTTTAAATACTCTGACAATTTCATAAACATTCTGGAAAATTCAAGAAAACACCATTCCTTACAAAGAACTCAGCACACACACTTGCCAGAGGAATTTGTTTTTTTAAAAAAAAAACAAAACAAAACTCTTTTGTGTGTGCCATCATTAGGATCTTCCTGTGGGGAGGCCAGGTCCTCCTGGCCACGCAGCTGGAGGCCCCGGAGTTGGCATGGTTGTGGGTGGCGGCCTGTGCATCTCCCCCAGGAGCAGGTCCGTGCGTGGTGACCCACATCGGCTGGGGACACCATTTGAATCCCACTGTTTCTCCTGGGAGTAGGAACGAGAGTCGCAGCCGCTGATGTGGAATGAGAAGGCAGGCTTTCTTGCACCTGGGAGCTGCCAGTCTGAGGGCTCCGGCTGTTACGCGGAGCGTCCACCTCTCCTTTCTGAGTTGCAGGCATGGTGTGCTTTCTCCAGGGCGGAGGGCGGGGGACCTGGGGATGTCTGCACCTGGGGATCCGGCCTTCTGTCAGGGTGTGATCTTTCCTGTTCCATCCCCCCACCAGACTCGAGGGCCGCTTCTGCCATTGTGTATGGTAGTCCCTTCGGAGAGCTGCCAGATGACGTGGCAGAGCGCACGAGGGTCGGTGGGTGTGGGGTGTGGCCAGGACTGGGGCTCAGTTGGGGACAGGACCAGAAGGCTGGCGCGCTGACCCAGAAGCCAGCAGGCATTAGCTGAGATTCAGGTTCTGGACTCAAACCTGCATCAGGGGCATTTCCAGTTTCTATTAGAACTGTTTGGTTTCAGTTGGGACAGACAGGATTGTTTTGTCTGCTGGGAATGTTCTGGAAATGTTTGTCGCTTTTCTCTTTCATTTTCTCCTGTTCCATTTCTGCCTTAACTTAGCTCCTTAGAGGGAGGCGAGCTCAAAGGAGCCCTGTGTCCCCACACTCAGGCCACATGGGCAGGAGGCACTTGTTTCCTCTGGGGGCAGGGCTGGCCCTCCTGCAGCTCCTGCCTGAGGCCCCCACCTCCTCTGCATCTCTGTTTTCCTTTTGGTGGAACACAGTGCCTGCCATTCAGTTAGACCTTCTTGACCGCCTCTCTGTGTCATCCGTTTTTCCAAAGAGGAGACAGAGTGAAGTACTTAGAAGTCTTTACTTGAAGACTGTCTGAAGGTGTTTTCTCGTTAGGTTTTGGTTTTCCCCCATATCCCAAGGTGAAGCACTGAGATTCTTCCATTTAAGGACCTACGACCTGAAACCCTCACCTGGTCAGCCACAGTTTGTTGAGGAGGCCCCAGACCTTCACAGTGTCTTTGAAGCCCGACCCCTTGGTTTCCTTTTGGATTTTCCTTCCTTTTGTTTGAAGTTCGGTTTTGCTTTTCTGTGTTCTGTACGTATCTTGTTGAATGTTGTCCAGAGTGAGCTTCATGTTCCACTGCGGCAGCAGAGTGTACATCCTGATTTGCTACGTTTATATATATCTTGAAGCTAAGTGTATATATGAGTAGTTTGCCATGAGATAACACAGTGTAAACAGAGTAGACACCCAGAAATCGTGACTTCTGTGTTCTCTCCATTTGAGTATTTTGTAATTTTTTTGAAAGATTTGTGGACATAAATAAAACCAAGCTACACTACAGCAGCTGGGTGTTCACCAGCGGACTGTGTCTCATTCCTGGGAGTGGGTGGGGGTCTTGGCACTTGCCCCTACCTAGGTCCCCCAGGCTGGGGAAGGGGCAGAGGGGAGAGTTCGGGTCTCAGCTGTTTCTGGCACACTGCTTCCCTACCCTCCAAAGCACCTTCCGGATAGATTCTTCCTGCCGTGTCTGGTAGGAAGGGTTTCTGTGGTGAGTGCTCTCAGGGATGCTCCGACCTGCTGGCTTGAGATCATTGGGACCCACAATGAGCTTACCCAGGCAGCAGAATGGGCCCGGGGGATGACAGCACTGGGACCGTGGACACCCTCTCCTCACTCAGATTCCTTTCTCCCCCTGCCTCTCACCCACACCTCTAATTTGTGGACACCCTTCATGGTGAACAGGCATGTAGCTCCTTCCCAGCTTAGAGGAGAGGTCTTGAGCTGCCCACTGGTGCAGTGGCCGCCACCTCCTCCTCCTGTCCCCCCTCTGCCTCGCCCTGAGGCCTGCCCGTGTGCCAGCCCACCCTCAGAGTGGCCCTCCGGTGAAGGGATGCATTCCAGCTGGTGGCCTGCAGGGTGTGGGTGTGGCCGTGAGGGGGCAGCAGTCATCAGAACGGATTCGGGCTGAACTTCCGGACACTGTCAAGGGCATTTTCATAAAGCTTCAAGGCTATCCCTGGAAGTTTATATGCTCGCCTTTCCATCTGGAATATGGGTTTCTAGATGCCCTGGGAGATGGAGCAAGAACAACCCTATCGATAAACTGCCCTCAAACGAGGCCGACACTGCCTAGTGGTGGTAAAGGCCTGGGGAACGGCTTGTGTCACTACCTAATTGAAGACGAGACAGTTCCGCCAGCCAGGGGACCCCGGGGGGGCATACACACCGATGCCCCTAGAAGCAGGTCCGTGTTCTCTGACAGCAGGAGTCCTGCTCAGCGACTTGGGTAACCCGTTAGGGGGGGTGAGGTTGAGGGGTCTGCCAGAGCAGACGTGGGAGGCACAAGTGACTCTCATCCTGGGTCACGAAGGCAGGGTGGGAGTGGCGGGGGGTGCGGGGGGAAGGGTGAGCGGCCGACTTCTTACCTAGACTGCGCTCTCCATGAAAATAGCGTTTGGTAGGCCTAAATGTATGAACTGCAAATTCCAAGTAGGTTAAAGGATAAGGCGTCCGTGTCTGAATGAATATATAGGTTTATGCTGCAGAAAAGACCCTCGGATCAGAGCTGCACAGGTGGTCCTAGTTTCTGAGGTGTGGACAGCTGTGGCCATCGTCCCCACCCTGCCATGCGCCCTTTCTGAGGCCGAGAGCCTGCAGCAGTGGACATCTGGATCATGAGGAGGACAAAGCGTCTGCCGCCCAGCCACCGTGCCCCTGGCCGCGCCCTGGCCTCTTGCTGCTTGGATGAACTGGCACTGGAGTCCCTGTGGGTGGATCCTCAGCTTGGGCATGGTGGCTCAGCAGCCCCTCTGGTCAGGGGGCTGAGAAGCGGGAGTTACGAAAACAGCACTTGGCAGGGCTGGGTGCGTGGTCGCCGTGTTGAGAAGGCTCTGTGGTAAGTTCAGGCGAACCGGGCGGCTCACCTAGGCATCACCTGTGTAGGCTGAGGCCCCTTACCCGCGGGGTAAGGATGCACAACAGGGCATCAGCAGTGACCTCCCACGTTGACACGGAGTCGCGAGACCCTCAAATACCAGGCATGTGAAGCCGAACAGTTGTGGGTGCAGGGGCTGAGGGTGAAGGTTGGGCCCGAGTGCCTCTGCGTGGAAGCTCACGAGACATTTGGGGGGTCGCTCCCTCGCCGGTGAGACCCTGAGCCGTGTCATCTGGCGCCAACACAGATTTCAGCTCTGACCCTCGGCCTCTCGCGGCCAACCCAGTCGGCTCCCAGACTCAAAGGCTGTAGAATCCGAACAGGCCCAGTTATACCAGACAGCTGGGGTCAAGCCACAGGCCCCAAGACCAGTGGAAGTATCTGTCCTGCACTTGACCCCTGAGCTGTGGAGACACCAAGGGGCAGACCTTACCACACCTTGGCCTCCCTGCCCCCTCCCAGGGAGAATCAGCCAGACGAGCCTGCCGGGGAGGCGGCCGCGGGGTTGGCTGTCTGGTTGGACTCCTCGGGCTGCAGGAGAGTGAGCTCCCTGGAGTCCTGGGACCCCCGGTGGGAGGAAGGGCCTGGCGGGGGTCCAGCCGTCAGATCTACAGAGCCTCTTGTGGCTGGAGCCCGCATTTACCACGGGACTTGCCCACCCTCCCTGGCCTCTGTCCTGCATTTTTGGCCCCTGGAGGTCTCGGTATCTGAGGTGTCCTTTCCCTGGGTCCTCACTGGGTTCCCAGCTGCCCTGGGGGCTCTGGCAGCTCGCGTTCCGGACTCCGATTCTCTGACCCACCCAAGGCAGCTCCTCTGGTAGCTGTCTTCACCAGGACCAGCTTCCAAGTCGTGTGTGATTGTTTTCTTCTGGCGTATTGGGGACCCAGGCTGCAGAAGCTGCGCCCGCATCCCCCCGCCCCGACCAGGTCCCAGTGTGTGGAAGGCACTTGCTTTGCAAATGTTTGCTGAGTGAACAGGCTCCCCCAGAGGGAGGCTCCTCGGTGCACTGACCGGATGTGGTGTTGAGTCGTAGGCATGGGTGATGAGATGGAAGGGCCTTGGCCCCATCCAGGGAGCTGGTCACTACTGGGGCACCTGAAGTGACCCCTCTTTCTCCCTCAAGTGTCTCCCAATCCCGCCTCCCCCTGACCACCTGGGCCTGCTCTGGGATCTCACAGCCCCTCTGGCTCCGGCCCTGGTCTGCCCCATTCTTCGATGTTTGGGCAGGGAGGGGGGATCTGCTTTACGGTGGTGGCCTCTGTTGAACCCCTAGGGTGTGGGACACCCAGCGTAGTGAATTAGATTAGAAAGACCTGAAGGCACTTCTTAGAAGACCCTTCCGGCCTATGGAGGGCATGGTGTTTAAGACCTGAAGTCTCCTGCGTGCCTGTCCACCAGCTGTCACTCCAGGTCGCCCCGGCTCCCCTTAGTTTTTGCACGGGCTCTGCGGCACCTTGGTCCTCGCGACCGCTCCTGGTCCTGACCACCAGGTGGCAGCATCTGTAAAGCCCTGGCGCCGTTCTTCCGCCGCTCTGCCCGCAGGCACCGAAGGTCCCCACCCCTGCGATGTAGGGGAGAGGTGTGTAGGAATGGTGATGCGTATTTTGTAAAAGAATAGATGTTTCCTGGAGCCAAGCAGCCAGAGAGGAGGGGTGGGGCGGTCTGGGCAAGGGGCAACTGGAACAGGTCACAGCCGGACCATGGGAAAGAGATGGGGGCTGGGGGCTGTGGGTGGCATGGGCAGGGCGCAGAATGGATGTGATGGCAGGGAAAGGCTGTTGGGAGGACAGGAGGTGCTTCTCTGTGGTTTTCAGCTGCATTCCCCCCGCTGGGCCGTACGTAGGTGCTCAGCAGACATTGGCTGAGTGGCGATCACCCCGTGATCACCTCAGCAGTGGTGATTCCCAGCATGATGGCCCTAGAAGTTCCCCGGAGAGTGCCCCTGAGCTGCCACTGCCCTAAGGGTCCTGTGCCCCAATTGTGCTCCCATCTCAGGACATCTGCGCCTCCTCTTCCGAGACTTTCAGGAAGAGGGTGCTCGGGGGCCCTCCAGCCTGCTCACGGCTAGGACGAGGGCACAGCACGCCCCTGCAGACCCTGCATGCGTGACTTGAAGGTAGTGTGAAGCTGAGCACCTCAGCGCACAGCGGGCCCTGGCCGTTGTCCTTCTGGCACATTCCCTCAAAACCTGCGGCCCAGGGCGCCTGGGTGTGAGAACGCCACCTTGCCCAGTCCCTGCTTCCCAGCGCAGGGCCCAGGGTTAGTCCAACAGTCTGGGAAGACAGAAACCAGACGGCTGAAGGCTGTGCTTTCACGACTTGACCCCCGGCCCCACGCTCAGTGTCTGCTCACACGTGGGCCATGGGCAGGGGCAGTGGTGCGTTCATTCCCAAGCAACATCAAGGCACAGGAGTTGGTTTTTCAAGTCTGCTGAGTGGCAAGTCAGGAGTGGCCGGTTTTAGTGGCTTGAAGGGCGTCAGTCTTATCACGGGCCCACGGAGCGAAGGCTTCCCTTCCCCTTCCTCTTACGGTAGCCAGGCGAAGACCCACTGTGGGGAAGGACCACGGCAGCTCAGCATTTCCTCCAGAAACATTAAGCAGCATGAGATCTGGAGTCAGATTCCCCGGTACAAGCGTGCGACCCTGTGTGACCTGGGCCAAGCACTTAGGGCGCCCGTCTCGGGTCCAGGTCTGCCTGCCAAACGGAGCCGGGCCAGCTCCACCCCCTCGCCGGCGAGGACGAAGCCTGAAGGCTGCAGAAGGCACTTAGCTCACCGCAGGGCCCATCGTAGGACTTGGGGACCCGTGAGCAGTGGTCACTATCCTCACCATCATCACAGCTCCATTGTGAAGTCCGGAGAGTGATTCTCTGAGATGTGGAAATCTCAGCGAGTCCCGGGCCTCACGCTTTGGATCCTGTGGTTGCTCCCCCTGCCATCTGCTGGGAATAGACCTGAAGGTCAAGGGCAGCGTTTGGGTGCTGGCCTGAGGGCGGCCAGGGCTCTGCTCCGCCCACTGACTCCGTGCGGATTCCCACGTGTAAGACCAATCTCTGTTTCCATAGAAAGTTCTAGGAAGAAGGCCTTAAGTTTTGGCAAGCCAGGAGTGAAAGGGAAGCCTCCCTCTTCCCTCTTTCTTGCATGAAGATTTGACCATTCTGGGCAAAAGCATCCCAGACCAGGGGCCAGCCATCCGACACCACATTTTCTAAAACGTCTAAAGCTCTTGTAAGCAATATAAGTGCGGGGAGGATGAGTCTGGAGTCCCAGGAAAAGCATGGGACAAACAGGAGGCCCAAAGGAATTGCGTGACTGAAAAGTCACCAAAGTTCTCTCTGCTTCACCTACACATGGAGCAGGGAGGATGAGACCGGCCTCACTTAGCTTGTAACTACCAAGGGTAAAATGGCATGACATGAAGGCACAGAGAGAGGACTCAACTGATTCCAACCAGGGCAGGCTGCACAGAGGAGGTGGCATGTTAGACGATCTAAGTCGATGACTCAGAAGATGATGGGCAGCGAAGAGGAAGAAAGTCCTCACCTGTGAGAAGAGCATGAGCACAGGCTCGGAGTACGTCTGTGGCAGAGCAGAATCTGGCTGGAGTCCTGGGGGCTGGAGCCGTACAGAAGGCCATGGGCTTGGGACGACAGGCAGGGCCCAGGTGGGGCGGGAGGAGTTTAGACCTGGTTTCTTAGGCTCTGAGAAGGCCCCCGAAAGTGTTAAGAGGAAAGGGGTGCACTGAGGCATGTTTATAGCTCCCCCAGCTGCAGGGTGGAGGTTGGACGGGGAGGGTAGCTCGGAGGCAGGGAAGTGGGCAGAGATCCTGGGCCACATCTGGGGGCACAGAGAGCAGGGGCCTGGACTCCAGGGACCCCACAGGAGCCACCTCAGTAGACAATGGCACTGCGGAGGCCGTGGCTCGCGTTGGGGGATGGGTAAGGTGCCCCGCAGAGGGTTGGGGGTTTTACACCTACTGTCCCTGACTTGTCAGAAAGATGACCAGACATGTTAGCCGCCCATAAACCTCAGACTCTCCTCAGAGGCGGGCCCAGGATCCCCGTTGCTTTTGGGGGACTTGTGATCAGTGTCCCCTATGTGGCCCCAGAATATAGGGACCGTGCAGTGAGGGTGCTGGGGGCCAGGCCCAGCTCCATGCAGTGGGCAGGTACAACAGTGACCGGCCCGACCCACCCCGCCCGGTACACACGGCCAGCACTCACAGCTCGGGGAGAAGAGCCTGCCCGGCTGCACGGGCCAGCTCGGGGCGTCGAGTGATGGAAGATGATGAGAAGCCACATGGCGAAAGACCTTGACGCAAGAAGTCAGAGATTCATGCAGGTCCATCAACTGGAAGATGGCGGGTGCCAGGGGGTGGGGCAAGTCAGAGGGCAGAGCTGCGTTCACCGGGGCATCTGCTCCGCTTTCGTGAGGTTCCCACCCTCCCCGACGTGCTGCGACCCAAGCGTTTCGGAGCCTACGATCCCTCGAACACACCAAGCAAGTTGCCATCTCAGTTCTCAGATGGCTTCCTCTCTTCACCAGGGCACTGCCCTTCTCCCTGGCGTAGGCCACTCCCCAACCCCGTCACCCCGTCCTCCTGCCCTGCTCGTGGGCACAGCACTTACCGCCATCCTTGGGCACAGAAACTCAGTGCGTGATCTGCCTCTCTTCCTACACCAGCTCCACGAGGGCGGAGACTTGCTCGCAGCTCCCCAGCACCTACCACTGCCTGCACACCCAGGGCACTCGATGGCTATCTGTAGGGCGGATGGATGGATGGACCGGCGGATGGATGAGTGGCTGGGTGGGAGAATGAATGAATGAATGTCCCAAAAGCATTGTACGCTCTAACTCCACTCTGGGATACAGTGTACAGTTAGATCAGGCTCTGGGCACCTCTGGGTACAAGTGACCTTTGGGGCTGGAACATTCTTCGCTGTGGGGGCTGTCCTGTCACTGCAGGAGGTTTAAGGCATCTCCGGACAGTAGGCACCCACCCGAGTTGTGCCAAGCCAGACTATCTCCAGACATCGCCAAGTGTCTTCCCGGAGTGGGGGTGGGGGTGCAAAATGGCCTCCAGGTGAGACCCGCTGAGTTACATATACACCTCTCCTGGCAATGAGCGACTCTCGCAGCCCCCTCCCCAAGCCCCCAGGGGAGCAGCCCGCTCCCCAGGTGACCTCTCCGCCCTCAGGAGAGCCGCGACTAGGAACCGTGGGCTTCGCTGCTGCCATTTATTGGTTTGTCACATATGTACATTCCACAGGACACCTGCCCTGCGTCCGCCAAGGCCTGGGGCTTCTCACTGGCCGGACTGCTCCAGACCCCCAGGCACAGGCCTGAGGCCACAGCTGGGGCTCTGGGGTGTCAGACGTTCAGCAGGAGGGGCCGGTGCTCCTCCTCGGCGGCGTCGCTGGGAGGGATTTCATAAACGACGAACAGGGAGGAGTACAAGCAGCCCAGGAAGGACACCAGGCTAGAGAAATACATGACCCCGTTGGTGCCCACGGCCGAGGTCAGGGGCCCCAGCACCAGGGAGACCAGGATCTGGGCCAAGAAGTACTGGCAGCTCAGCAGGGAGATGTCCACACCCATGCCCCGCCGGGTGCCGTCCGCACTGGACCCTGCAAACTGACCCAGAAGGAGAAACCCATCAGCGGGACCCCTGGGCCGCAAGGGGACCCAGCCCCACGTTTCCTGCTGGCCCAGGGGACCCGAGCGGCCCACGCACGGCAGGCTCACGTTTTCCAGCGCCGACGACGTGCGCAGGGAGTTCAGCCAAGAGTTGAATAATATTTGTGCTCAGAGAGATGAGAGCCATGAAAAGAATCCATGACTAACGGGAGCGGAAGGGCCGCGTTCCCACAGGCCCTCCGCCCGGCCTGCAGAGCCTGGCCGTGTCCTACCTCTCCCCGGAAAGACAGGCAGCCTGCCAGGCTGGCTGGCACCCGCCGCCCGGCTCGTCCCCTTTCCTAAGCTCCGTCGGCCACCACGCCCGTCACATACCCTGAAACCACCTCTCACAGTCTCCGTGCCCGGCCCTTCGGGCCGCTCTTCCGAGGTGCTCGTGGCCTCCAGGGTGGACACGCCACCTTCCCTCGTGCCAGCCCTGCGCCCCACGGGGGCTTGGCGGTGAAGACGTGCTCTTTGAGCAGAGCTGCAGGAGTGACGCTGGCAGGAGGCGGGGTGGGTCCCCTCGCCCTGCTCCCCCCCCAGCACACGCCACCCTCACCCACTGAGGCAGCGGACGGACGCCACCCCCACCAAGCCCGCAGTGTGTGCACTGCCTGGGGGCCGGCCTCCCTGGCCCCGCATCCAGACACCGGTGTGGGCCCCTCTGGGCTGGCGCCAAGCCCCCGCCCTGGGGACGGCTCTGTCCTCGTGGCACCTGCAAGGTGCTCCGTGAGTGCGCCCCGCGTGCGTCCTGGGGAGAGCGTGGCCCCCCGTGTCTAACGCACAGTCGGCAAAGCCACTGCGGGGGGGGGGGTCACAGGTGAGCCCTGAGCCTGCAACCGAGCAGAGATTGACAGGAATGTGAGCTTCTGGAAGACTCTACGAGCAAGAGGCCCAAGGCTTCCAGGGGTGCTGACCAAATTCAGTTAGGGCGTCCCGAGGCTCTGGGCGTCCCTTCGCTCAGGGGGGACAGCCTTCCCCCAAGAACCGGCCCATCTGTTTTCCCCAGTCAAGGGGTCTCGGGCTGCAGGGGATGGTGGCCACGGAGGGGGGCGGCCCCAGCCAGCAGGGGTGGTGCCACCCCCGTCCCCTCCCCTCCTTGGTCCCCGGGATGCTGCGGGCACTCACTCTCCAGCCGTCACAGCCTCTGTCCTCCCCCCACCCCCACGCCGGGGGAGGTACGGTCCTTGTGGCCACTACCTGTCTGTGTGGCCGGGAGGGAAGGGGCGGGGAGGGGCGGCCACGGCTACCACCGCAGGCCTGGGGTCTGGCTCACTGTCGTGTCCGGGGCTCCAGGCAGACGTGACTTTTCACAAAAAACATCGTGCGCAGAGCTGGCCCCAGCTGGGCTCACCAGACCTTCCAAACCCCCTAAAACAACTCAGGACGCCTCCTGGGCCGGGCCTGGGGGAGGCGACGGGAGCCCCACATTAAAACGGGGGGTGAGAGAACCCCAGGTATCGGGGTGATCTTTTAATGCAGTATTTTAAAATCTCCAAGTTACGGCAAAAAAATCTCTGAGGGGAGCCCTGTTGGCTGCAAGAAGAAAGGAAGCCCTGACACACACCTCAGCGTGGACGCGCCTTGAAAACGTGACGCGAGGGACAGAAGCCAGACGCAAAGGCCACACACGACACAGTTTCGTTTCCACGACACGTCCCAACAGGCAAATGCGGGGAGGCCCAAAGTGGCCTCGTGGTAGCGGGCGGAAGGACGGGAAAGGGGGACGGCTCATGGGTATGGAGTCTCTTTGGGGGGCGACGAAAATGATCGTGGTGGCGATGGCCAGCGCTGGGGATACACCCTGGGAAACGGGTGAACTGCGTGGTTCTGTGCGGCGAACCTGAGCTCGGCCAAGCCGTTAAAGGAAAATCCATGCTGGACAGAACGTCAGAATTGTCTGTAAAGGCAGGACTCATTCTCCTGACTTTTCCTTTTGCCTCGGCCTCTGCCATGGCTTGGCCCGGTGCTGCACCTTACCCTGCCTTTGAAGTTCTGACCTTCTGTTCGGCGTGAAGTTTCGGCACTAATTCTCTCTTTTTCAGAAATACTGCGTTAACCCATTGTTGACCTTGATCCCCGAGTTTTTTGTGTCCCAGGTGAGTGCCTCCCTTGCCTTGCCCAAGACCCCGTGCTAACGGGTGACCCCGAAACCTGCCCGAAGGGGACACAAAGCGGTGGGCCTCCCCTTCCTCCCTCCCTGCTGCCCAATCCCCCCACCCCCACCCCACGAACGGGGCGCCTTCCCGGGCAGCTCCCTGCTCAGGTTTATGCTCTGCTGTCACCAGCTGGACTTTCTTAATGTTTGAACGGGCCCCGCATTTCCCGCGTGGGGCTGCTCCTGGGGCCATGTCTCAAGCGGGGTTTCTCCAGGCCGCCGGCAGGGGTGAGGCCGGGCCCAGGCAGGCCTCTTCAGGACCCGAAGCAGAAATCCCGAGGCACTTACCTTTTTGTTCTGGTAGTAATCGCACAGGAGTGAGTAGGGCAGGGTGCACAGGGTGGAAAATAAAATCCCGTAGGTTATGCAGAGGGACAGGACCACGTAGAGGTTCCTGGACAGGGTAGCGAGCCCGGTCCCCAGGCCGAAGGCCAGGTAGGCAATGAAGTACAGTGTGCGGATGCTGAGGTGTTCTTCCAGCTTCTCGAGAATGGCTGTGGGCCGAAAAGGAACACGAGCAGCACTACAGTGCCCGGTGGCCCCGGGGACTCCGTTTCCCTGGGCCACCTCCCCGGGGCTGGCCCGACCGCTGGCCGGCAGCTCGCCCCAGACCAGAAGGCCTGTGGCGGGGGCCCGGGGCGTCGGCTCTGAGGCACCGGGGCCAGGGCGCTCCAGAGGGACGCAGGCCTTGGAGGTAGAGGGGTGCAGGTGAAGCGATCTTGGGCTGAAACACCGAGCAGGCTCAGGGTGCGGGACGGAGAGGCAAAACCAAGCCGGCCGGGAAACTGCTCCTGGGACAAGCCCGGCCCACGGCCTGCCTGGGGGCCTCCGGGGTTTTATATTCTTAAATGGTTTAAAAAAAAACATCAAAGGGTGGGGCGCCCGGGTGGCTCAGTCGGTGAAGCGTCTGCCTTCGGCCCAGGTCACGATCCCGGGGCCCTGAGATCTGGCCCCACATCCGGCTCCCTGCTCAGTGAGGAGTTTGCTTCTCCCTCTCCCACTCCCCCTGCTTGTGCTCTTTCTCCCTCCCTCCCTCTCTCTCTCTCAAATAAATGGATAAAATCTTTAAAAAAAAAATCAAAGGACACAAGTATTTTGTGACACGTGAAAATTACACGAAATTCCAGTTCCCGTCGAACATAAAGGAAGTCTTACTGGGACTCGGCCACGCACGCTCGTTAGACGGAAGCATCTCGTCCGAGGCGGCTTCCAAGCCACCAGAGCGGTGCCTGGCGGTTCCCCGGAGGCTGTGTGGCCCGCGAGGCCGGAAGCGCCCACCCCCCGACCCTTGACGGAACCTGGGGGCTGACCCTGAGGTGAAACTCGCTGGTGGCCCCACCAGCACCCAGGCTCCCTGCTGGGACGGTAGCCGGCACCCTGTAGCGATCCTGCTCGGCTTCCTGTGTCCCCTGGGTCCCCCGCCGCCAACCTCAGGGTCATCTCAGCCTCTGGGCTTGGCTCTCCCCACGTGCCATCCACCTGCCCCCCGCCCCGTCCTCACCTGCCCTCCCTCCCGGGCCTGGCCTTTCTGCCCACTGGCCGTCTCGGGCCTGGAGGGACACCCAGTCCCCCCGCAACCCTCCCTCCCCCAGGCCCAGCACCCGCCAGCCCCAACAGGTTGCTCCATACAGGGAGGCCACACCCTGTGCGGCCCGTGAAGACCCAGCCCTCCCTTCACCCACGACCCCCGTAAGCCACACCTCCCACGAGGGGACCCCAACCCGCTTCTCCCCCGGGGCGGCGGGTACCTGAGTAGAAGGCAGCGCTGAATGCGTAAATGCACATCCCCCAGCAGCCCATGGTGACTCCGCTGTTGTATTTCTGATACTCCTCCGACGTGTGCGGGGCTTTGGGGTCTCCCTGAAACACCACCTCACCCATGAAGTCCGTGTAGAAGAGCAGCAGCCCCTCGAACGAGAGCCACCCTGGGAGGGGGAAAGGGCTGGTGACCACTGGTGCGGCCGCCCCCGCTCTCGCCAACGGGTGCTTCGGCCAATGATCAGAGTTATACACGGTTTTCGTGGATCGGGACCGAAACGAAGGAACTGCCTACAGCCTCACCCCCCAGAGATCGCTTTCCCTCTGTTAAAATTGGGTAGGTTCTTTTTTTTTTTTTTTTTAAAGCAAATGCACATCCTCATAAATACAGGCTCTGTTGCATGAAAGGTCGTGTTCAGCTCTTTCTCCAAACACTGCGACCATGAGGAAAGCCAATCCGTCACTCCTCCGGCCGCCTCGTCCTGCTCTCCACCCGCCTCTCGGCAAGGGGACAAGAAGACGCCGGTGGAAACGCAGTCGCAAGCCCGAGGGGGTGGCGGGCCGCTGAGAGAAACACGCCAGGCAGGGCAAAGGTTGATAGAGGAGCATTCTGCTCCAACGTCGATGAAGCCGCAGGGCTCTGATCCTCCGACGTCCGTGTCAGTTCCGTCTTCGGTAGAGGAGGGGGGGTGGCGTTTGCGGGACCTCTTGAACCCCAATAATTATCATGCACAATCCCTATGCCATTAAGTCTTCCTAAACAGCCCATTTCAATGGCAGCAAAGTACCAAGGTGTACACGCCACTCATCGATTTAACCCCTCCTCGCATTGCTGGACACGTACGGCCCCCCACCCCTCCTCCCCACCCCTGCCTCCCAGCGTCTGGCTATTATACATCATGCTGTGATGAGTACCTGGGACATAGATTCTTGGTAACAGTTCTGATTACGTTCTTGCAAAGAATACCAAGTAGGGTCACTGGGATCAAGGTGATGGGCATTTTTAAGATTCTTGCCTGTTGCCAAATTGCCTTCCAGAAGGACATTCTGATTTACATCCCACAGCGTTTGAGAGCCCTAGAGTATCTCAAATTCTTAATCATCCTCAGAGGCTCAGCAGCCCGACAGCAAGGAGACACGGAATGGAATGAAATGCGAGCTCGGGCTTTTCCATGGCAACCCGAGCGCCGAGGGTCGCGGGCTCAAGGCCAGTGCCAGGCACCCGCGGGCACGTGTGGGCGTCTCTATGTGTGTCTGTCTCGGCTCTAGGAGTAAGACAGCATGAGGCCCAAACAGGCTTAAGACACAAGTCCCACCAGCAGCATCTGTCACTTAACTGTGAGTGGTCCGAAGAGCTTTCAGTAATGGGAATTCGGACTCTGGGGAGACCAGGTGTCCGGCACGGGCGGCGGGGTGTGCCTCCGTCCGGAGCACCTGGCTTACTTCGGGGCTGCCTGGAGGAGGCATCTCTCTGGCCCTTCCTGGAGAAAAGCCCTCCAGGGCAGCCCCACCCCACGCCCTGCCCTTAGTGGCATCTAGGGAGTCTAAACGCGCGGGAGATGTCCCCCGGGATGGGGCGTGGGGCTCTGGTGTCCCGGGAGGCCGGCGGGGGAGGGAGCCCCAGGTCAGGGAGCCGCGTCCCCATCATGGCCTCGTCGCAAAGCGAGACCCAGGCTGGGACGCGGATGCGCGGGGAGGTTTGCCGGGAGCTCACCCAGGAAGTGGTTGATGCAGAGATTGCGAAGGGCCTTGGGCATGTGGCAGATGGTGAAGCAGAGGTGCCTCATGGACAGGGGCTGCCCCGCCGTCTCGCCGGAGCCCGCCAGCTCGCTCTCGTACTTCACGCCGTTCAGTAAGATATTTGCCACCTGGAAAGGAAGCTCACACAAAGCCCCTCGTCAGAGCACCGGACTCCGGCCGTCGAGGGGACGCGTGGATTTTGCTGTGATGACAAAGTGCATCCGAAACACACACACACACACACACACAGAGGCTGTGAAGCACCACCCTGAACCTGAACGAGAGGGCCGACGTTAGGTCGTCTCATCACAGACCTGGAGCAGCCGAGAACGGCCCCATTTGGGGGGGGGGCCCACGCCGTGGCTGCCGGACGAGAGATCTGGGCCACAGAGAGTGAGTGGATACCTTGCCAAACGGGACACACATTTGAGATACGAGAACTACGGGGCGGTTCAAATGCAGACGTTACAAACGTCCCTTCTTTTCCGTAAGAGCAGGGTGTAAAAGAGACTTCTTGCAAGGTGACCGGGGAGTCTGTTCCCAATTCTCTCGGGCCGGGGGGACTCGCACCTCCCCGGAGGCTGGGGCGGCCGACGGGGCAGGTCCCGGGAGCATGAACACTCACCTTGGCCCTCGGCGCGGGGCCAGCTTTCTTTCTGGGGCCCAGGAGCACCCGTCCACCGGCAAACCCGCTCCCTGACTTGGTTTGCTTAACTCTTGCTGGCACGAGAAGGCGTCACTCCTCGGTCGCCCTGCCTGGGTCACTAGGGGACCCTGGGGTCACTGGGGAGCTCACCGTTGTGCAAGCAGCGAGGGTGAGAAGGGACAACGCCCTGGCTCCGTGGGGGAGCTGTGCTGTCGTTGGCTCCTGGATGAGCCAAGTGGGGAGACCCAGAGGAAGCTAACAGCCCAGGGCACTGGTCCTACGGGCAGCCATGTCCACAGAGCTGGTCACCACGGCCGCCGGAGGAACTGCTAAAATGACACCCATGTGCCCACCTGAGGCGATACGTGTTTGTATGTAGCTCAGGACCTTTACTTTCCTCAAAGAGCTGGCTCATAGGGGCGCCTGGGGGGCTCAGCCGTTAAGCGGCTGCCTTCGGCTCAGGTCGTGAACCCGGGGTCCTGGGATCGAGCCCCACGTCGGGCTCCCTGCTCGGCGGGGAGTCTGCTTCTCCCTCTCCCTCTGCTCCTCCCCCCAGACTCATGAACTCTTGTGCACGCATGCTCTCTCTCAAATAAATAAAATCTTAAAAAAAGAAAGAAAGAAAGAATAGCTTTTAAACAAGGAAAAGGAGGGCGCCTGGGGGGCTCAGCCGTTAAGCGGCTGCCTTCGGCTCAGGTCGTGATCCCAGGGTCCGGGATCGAGCCCCGCATCGGGCTCCCTGCTCGGCGGGGAGCCTGCTTCTCCCTCTGCCTCTGCCTCTCCCCCCGCTGGTGCTCGTTCTTCCTCTCTCTCTAATGAATAAGTAAAATCTTTAAAAAAAAAAAAAAAGAGCTGGCTCATAAATGATACTCTACTGAGAATGGACCTAGAAAAAAGGATTCCAACGAGAGTTTCAACCAGAACTAAGGAACTGCATCTCGAAGCCCAGGATGACCCACTATTGACAAAAGGTCGGGCGAGCACTCTGATGTCATCAGCGGACGAGGCTAACGCCCTGGAGCCCTTAGAGAAATCTTTCTTCCGACGGTAATGGGACTGCCTAACCCTCCGGTGAGGTTTGGTTCTTCAGACCTTTTCCAGACCTGAGCCCAGGAGGTGTCCCGGCCAGAGGACAGTCACTCTCAAGAGACGGTGAGGGCAGCCCGGGGATGACCAGCCACTGCGCCCAGAGAAGGTTCGCACCAGACACGCGGGCGCCCTTGAGGATTCAACCGGAGAGAAAAGGAACAGCCACCTCAAACTGTGTCTCCAGTCAGCCTCCCCCGAAACCGGGGCATCCGTCAGTCCTGCCGGGCGCAGGGGGCGGGGGGACGCCTGGCTGAGGAGCAGACCCTCCGCCGCCCGGGGGGCTTCAGGTCTCGGGGAGACGCGGCCACAGGCCGGGCAGGGCAGCAGGCCGCGCCTCCGAGCTCCCCGCCGTCCCCGGGCCGCCGTCGGGGCCACACGGTTTTAGAGAAACTCCAAGTTCTCACTGAAACCCTCTCTCACCCTGTGACCCCCTTGAGGGCAGGTGGGCCCCAGAACTCCGTCTGCTTCGAGTGACAGCGTAGCCTTTCTTTTATTGAAGGTGGCCTCCTCCAGACAGCAGATTCTGACGGTGGTTAAAGTCCCACATACCAGTTGGTGGCCTTTCAGCCAATCTGACTTACACGAAATACAACACAAACAGCCTTCCGGAAGGTTCTTCACCTGCACAGACCATGCCTCGCACTGCCTTTTAGAGGCAGCCTTTGGGACGGCCGGCTGCGGCCAGACGCCAGGAGGGCCCAGAAAATCCGCCAGGCCTTCTGTGGGGTGTCCGTCCCTGGGGGAGACTTAGCTCTGCTGGCGCCACATTCACGCCGCCCAAGCGCGCGGTGGGCGCGGGGAGAAGCACTAAGGCCGCTTCTGACACACTCACGCCAGGAACGTCCGGGCCTGAATGAACTACCTCGGGGCAAACGTGGCCGCCTTTCGAAGGAGTGTCCCTCTGATGGCGGCCAGCGCGCTAAGCCGCCGATGGGCCCCCGACAGACCCCTTGAGCGCCGTCGCGGGCGGGCGCAGCCTCTCCCCCCGCACGCAGGCCTAGTCGGCCCCGGGAGGGGCTCGGGAGGCCTTCCCAGAGCGACAACCCCTCTCTCCATCTAACTCATGACGGGGGACAACACACTTCGCCCTCTGAGCCCTGCCCCACCCCACCCCCACCTTCGCTTTTACCTGCTGACTGAAGGTCACGTTCCTCCTCCGGCTGGTTTCGGGACCCCCTCCTCCGGCCGCGTCCGGGATGGCCAAGGTCTGGGGTCTCTTCAGGATCCCGGCCGATCGTGGCTTGGGGGCGTCCAGGGAGCCCACCCTCAGCACGTCCCCATCGGGGCCCGCGGCCAGGGCCGCCTCCCGCCTGTCCCCGAGGCCGCGGTCCTGGCGGTAGAAGCCGTCGGGGGCCCGCGGGAAGCTGACGCTGATGGCCGGCCGCGGGGCGCTGCCCGGGATGGCCAGGTAGGGGTCGGGGCCGCCCGTGAAGCAGTCGATGAGCACGCTGTCGATGTTGGAGGTGGCGAAGGACGAGGCAAACTCGTTGATACCCGTCAGGGAGCCGTCCCTGCTGGTGAAGCTGCCGTACTTGGGCGTGAGGGGGCTGAGCGGCGAGATGGGGCTGGAGAAGCTGGTGTACAGGCTGGTGGCCGGGGGACAGGGGAGGGGCTCGCCGGCCCCTTCCTCGTACAGCAGGGGCGGGGAGGGCGGCAGCGGGAGGCTGGGGCTCTTCATGGTGGCCTTCTTCTCGCCGGGGGGCCGCAGGGGTCTCTCGGGGATGCTGACCAGGGTCAGGACGGTGGTGATGCTCAGGGTGACCGCGGTGAAGATGTAGATAACCCTCAGCTGCCCGCCCAGGGCTCTTCCGAAGCTGGTTTTGTCCCAGTGGATGCCCCCAACCACATATCCGAATCCTCCTCCGAGGCCTGGGGAGAGAAGCAGGGTTAAGCTCCCCCACCTCCAGCAGGCAGGGGGGACGGCCCTCGAGAGTCGTGGTTCCGTGTCTTACTCAGGTGGCCAAATCTGTTGGGAGGATCCAGACCCAGCATTGGTCCCTCTTAAACCCTGGCAAAAATGCAAAGGAGAATGGGATTCTCAGGGGGCCGCCTCAGGGCCCCCCTCTCCTGCCCGGGGCTGCCGGGCTCCAGAGCAAGTGGCATGGTGCCTGCCCGTCCATGTCTGTCCCACTTACGGCCTTGCTGGAATGTCTACACTGGGTCACAGCCCCCTTCGAGGAGCCCCAGCCCCCCAGCGTCAGTGCCAGGCAAACGTGGAAGATCTTGTCTCCAACATGCGGACCACACACGTGTGTCTGTGAGGGGGGGGAATTCATGTGGCCACCCCGGTCTTCCTCGCCTGATGCCCGCGTCCTCATGCACCCCCAGTGGTGACCAAGGATGGCCACCCTTGCTCTCCGGGTCAGCAAGCCGGTGGAAACAACAGGGCTACAGGGATCCGGTCCTCTGCTCCTGCTCGCTGCATCCCCTGGCCTCGGGGAACAGGTAAATGGCAAACTGATTCATGCAGCAAGGGGTAAAAATGAGGGTGATGCCACGTTGCCCCCAGCCAGGAGCACCGCATGCACTTAGCTCCAGAGAGTGCTGTTTCCCGCCGCCCGCTCCCACGTCCCCAGCACCCCCGGCCCCCCTCCCGGCTACACCACAGGGCTGCGGCCTTATCATTTTGAGTCCAGCTGCATTTCGAGCCCATCTGCTGGTTGGAAGGCGAGTTCTCTCCGTTTACTCCTGCTGTTGTTGTATCCAAACAGCTCGTGCGGTCTGGCCACCCTCCGCTTCGGGGAGAACCAGCCGCTTTTGAATAGCAACTTCTATGGCAAGGCCTGGGCTCAGACACACTCAGCTCAAGCTTCCACGGACCCCTCAAGGTGGCACGTGGCCCTGAATCCACTTGCTTAACGGTTTCCCCCTAGATCTCCCTCATCTGTCCCCGACTGTCCTTACAGGCCTTTGAATTTCATGTCTCCCCTCCTCTTAGTATTCTTAACTTCCCACATTCATGGTCCCAATGAGTTCCTCTCACCTCTTCTGAAGACACAATTGCTATTTTGTGGCCCTTAAAGAAGGTCAGATTTGAGATGACCTTTATTAACCATTTTTTTATTTTTATTTTTTTTTATAGATTTTATTTATTTGACAGAGAGAGCACAAGCAGAGGGAGAGAGAGAGAGAGAGAAGCAGGCTCCCTGCTGAGCAAGGAGCCCGATGTGGGACTCATTCCCAGGACCCTGGGATCATGACCCGGGCCGAAGGCAGCCGCTTAACCGACTAAGCCACCCCGGCGTCCCTAACCATTTTTTTAAAAACAATTACTGAAGCAAATATATTCTCACAGGAGAGAAACGGTACATCGATTCAGCCTCGAAGAAACAAACAACCTGATTCAAACATGGGCAAAGGACTCACATATCTATTTAGTGTCTATTTTTCCCCAAGAAGACATACAGATGGCCAGGAAGCACACGAAGGGACGCTCAGCATCAGGGAAATGCAAACCAAAACCACAGTGAGATCCCACTTCACACTCATTAGGGTGGGTTGTATCAAAAAACGAGACAATAGGGCGCCTGGGTGGCTCAGGTGGTTAAGCGACTGCCTTCGGCTCAGGTCATGATCCTGGAGTCCCGGGATCGAGTCCCGCATCGGGCTCCCTGCTCGGCAGCGAGTCTGCTTCTCCCTCTGACCCTCCTCCCTCTCATGCTCTCTATCTCATTCTCTCTCTCAAATAAATAAATAAAATCTTTAAAAAAAAAACACAACAAAAAAAAAAACAAGACAATAACAAGTGCTGGCGAGGATGTGGGGAAATCGGAGCCTCTGTGCATGGCTGGTGGGGTGTAGAATGGGGCAGCCACCACGAACACAGTGTGGAGGCGCCTCAGAAAATTTAGAACAGAATTACCGTAGGATCCAGTAACTTCACTTCTGGGTTTATAGCCAAAAGAACTGAAAGCAGGGTCTTGAAGAGACATTTGCACCCCCAAGTTCGTAGCAGCTTGACTCACACTAGCTGAAATGTGGAAGCCACCTACTGTCCGTCAACAGGTAGAATGGATAAGCAAGATGCGACCTCTATACCCGATGGCGTGTTATTCTGCCTTACACAGGAAGGACATTCTTTTTTTTTTTTTTTTTAAGATTTTATTTATTTGCGAGAGAGAGCATGAGAGACAGAGAGCATGAGAGGGAGGAGGGTCAGAGGGAGAAGCAGACCCCCCGCTGAGCAGGGAGCCTGATGCGGGACTCGATCCCGGGACTCCAGGATCATGACCTGAGCCAAAGGCAGTCGCTTAACCGACTGAGCCACCCAGGCGCCCCAAGGAAGGACATTCTGACACCTGCTACAACAGAGATGAATATTGTCCGAAGTGAAATCAGCAGTCACAAAAAGACAAATAGCACATGAGGCCACCCATATGAGGGACTCAGAGCTGTCAGAGTTATAGAGACAGAGAGAGTATATGGTGGGAGCCCAGGGGCTGGGCGTGGGGAATGGGGAGTTAGTGTTTAATGGGGACAGAGTTTCAGTTTTGCAAGAAGAGAAAGTTGTTGGGGGCGGGGGTGACCGGTGGTGATGGCCCCACGACAATGTGAATGTGCTTGATGTCACCGAACTGTTCACTTAAAATTGGTTAAGATGGTCATTTTTTTTATTATATAAAAAGAAAAGAGGGGCACCTGAGTGGCTCAGTCGGTTAAGCATCCGACTCTTGATTTTGGCTCAGGTCAGGATCAGGGTGGCGAGATCGAGCCCCAGGTCAGGCTCCGCACTGGGCGTGGAGTCTGTTTGAGATTCTCTCTCTCCTTTGGCCTCTGCTCTCCCACTAGTGAACCTGTGCGCACTCTCTCTCTCTCTTTCCAAAATAAATAAATCTTTTTAAAAAAGAAAAGAAACAATACAGAAGACTATAAGGTAAAAGACGGGGTCCTCCTTGCTACCCTACACACCCCAGCACTGGCCCGGCCGGGACCCCTGCAGAAATTCCCTGCCCCCATCCATGCATGTGTGTAAATAGAGACAAGCAGTGGCATTTTCTAGAAGAAGCAACTGGGACTGGACAGACTGAGCAGTTGGCCCAATGTCACACACTGAACAGGAGGAAAAGCCGAGACCAATTCAGGCTTCCCGATCCTGGAGCCGCTGGCCTCCTGCCTGTCCATCCAGGTCCTGCGCGGCCCCCGTCTTGTTACGTCTTTCCCTTGACCTTCAGAAACACTTCCCGATGCTATTTGAGATGGGATTGTTTGATTCCATTTTATTTTGGAAAAGGTACATGTTTTGTGTAAGAAAGCTGGAAGTCCTGGTTTTTTGAGAATACTTGGATAAGCAAGCGTCATACTGAACTCTCGTCCTGTTCCGCAGTCAGTTCTCTGGAAGCGTGCGAGTGCGTGGTCACCGGGGATAATCCTCACGCTCCACACCTCTCACTTCTGCTAATCACACAGGCTCTGTGGCTCTGTGGGCGTCCCTGCCTCGTGTCTCAGCTCCATAGGCACGTTTCTCCCGTTTGCAGCAAGCACGACTCGGGCGTGTGTGCGAGCGCAGGGCGCATGCATGTGGGACTCCTCATCATATGCAGACTCTGTATGTGCCCATTTACCTGCTCACTAAATTGTATCTGTGACCCGTCAATACACACTCCACACGCAATCACACTCAGCTATGTGCAGAGCAGCGAGCGCTTGGAGTTGCCCGACGCACCAGGTCCCAGCTGAGGCCAAACAAGGCAATGCCCTGCCTTCTTATTTCAACCCTCAAGACTGTGGACAGCCAACTTTCTTGTCATCTATATGATGCCATGTTTCTGCAGGCTTTTTGCCTTTTTTTTTTTTTTTTAAGATTTTATTTATTTATTTGAGAGAGAGAGAGAATGAAAGACAGAGAGCATGAGAGGGAGGAGGGTCAGAGGGAGAAGCAGACTCGCTGCCGAGCAGGGAGCCCGATGCAGGACTCGATCCTGGGACTCCAGGATCATGACCTGAGCCGAAGGCAGTCGCTTAACCAACTGAGCCACCCAGGCGCCCCGGCTTTTTGCCTTTTTTTAGGGGGGGGTGACATCACCATTTAAAACGGCCGCCACGTGTAGAGCTGATGCTCTGCTGTCTCTTGCTCGGAGGTCCCAGGAGGCTGCGCTGTGTCTTATAAAGAAAACACGTGTGTCAGATAAGCTTTGCTCAGGCACGTGCCATACGTTGGCCACGAGTTCCATGTTAGTGAACCCATGATATATGTTCAGAAGGTGTCTTTAATCAGAAACACATACAACAAGTTTAGGTGCTGATGGGGTTGATGAAAATGGGACCAGAGGTTCGCGGGAACCTAACCCTGTCCTATTCCTAGGGGCGGTGACTCAGCTCTGGCCAATTCAGGGTTCGTGGTGACTTGGTAGAAAGTAACTCCTCGAACAATGGGAGTAAGGCGCACGCAGAGTCATATACACAGAGACTTACATATGCACATAGGTGGCTATCCTTACACCTTGTACACGTGTATGCACAGATCAACACTACATAGTATTGCTGAACTACATCGTCTGAAATATATACTTTCAATCACATCAGTGCTCATCCCTATAGTTGAGGGGTTTTTTTAAAGATTTTATTTATTTATTTGACACAGAGAGAGAGAGAGCCAGCTCGCACAAGCAGGCGGAGCAGCAGAGTGAGAGGGAGAAGCAGGCTCCCCGCCGAGCAGGGAGCCCGATGCGGGGCTCGATCCCACGACCCCGGGATCATGATCTGAGATGAAGGCAGCCGCTTCACCCAACGAGCCACGCAGGCGCCCCCATATATTTGAGTTTTATGACTCGGGTTTTGCATCAGGGCGATCGAAGCGCCCACAGTGGACACGCAGCCCCAGAGCCGCGCCGTGGGGAGACCTACCTGCCAGCAGCGCGTGGATGTTGAGGCCGCGGTCCTGGTCGGCGGGGCTGCACACGTCCATCATGTAGGCGTGGCTGGGGTTGTCCGCAGAGTCAGCGCTGAAGTCCATGAGCACCACCCCGCACACGGTGAGGAGGAGGCCCCACTTGTGGTTGTCGGCCGAGTCGGCCAGCGCCGTGCCCAGGTCCCTGCCATTGAGCAGGAGCGAGAGGCCCAGCAACGCCCCTGCGGACAGAGAAAAAGTCACGCCAAGGAAACGCGGGGCAGCTCTGACCCCCCAGCTGGCCACTTCAGTCTAGAACCTTTAGGGCCCTGAGAATTCCTTTTTAACCAAACTTCAAGCAGAGCCCATTGGAAAAGCCACCTGCAGACTCACCATGGTTTCTTGGTTTTGTTCTTGCTTTTTTGCTTGGATCAGGGTTTTTATTTTGTCAAGTAGGGCAGGAATGACATACACTTTATTAACCCGTTCTTAAAAAATCAAAGGGATAGACTGTCACAGCTAACTCAGGCCTGGTTACGGGGTGCTCCCTGCCACCACACCCGTGAAATTATCTGTGTCGCTGCTTTGGTCAACACTCTTTTAGATTTTGCTAAGAGGAAGCAGTTGGGGCCTTTTTTTCTTTTCTTTTTTTTTTTTTTTTCCACTTTATTTCAGTTCCAAAACAACAGACCTATAGCCAGGACAAGAATGAAAGGGCGTCTCCTTCCAAACCTTGAGGTACATCGGTCACTCCAAGCACCCAACAGTGGCTGCAGTAGGAATCCTGAAACAGAGCAGGCCAGTGGTCACTGCTGGGGTCCCCCCACCCCACCCCGCACCCTGCGCTGGACAGCCCCCAAACACCTGCACCCAAACGTCCCAAGGTGCCAAGCGAATAAATGATGAAACTCGGAGTACGCAACCCTGAGCTAGAAAAACAAAAGACGGACTCTTGGAATAGCTCAGCTTCTGCCCACATTTTCTACTTAGGTCCCTATAAGGCACTAAGCAGCCATGACCTTGCTTGGGGAACCCAAGAAATTCCAGGACCCCCCAGACCCAAAACACATCAAGCTTTATTGCCTGGATCCTCCAGTGATGGCTCCGTGTCAGATGGTGGGAATCCTTGGGGGTCAGTGAAATGCCTCTTCTGTGGTCTGGTTTAGATAAAGTCACTTAAAATACGGGGTGTGGAGACCCTGCCTGTGTTCTCCCACAGCCCCAAACTAAAGAGCAAAACGGAAGTCTTGCTCCTCCCTTGTCCCCTTGGGACCCTCTAGCCACTTCAAGTCAGGCTTCTGGAAGCTTCCAGAGGTTTCTGGAGACCATCGGCCATCGGGGCTGAGCTGGGGCTCACCGAGGATGGGGCTGATGAACCACACCAGACTGTAGAGCTGGTCGGGCAAGCCCATCTGTAGGAGCACTGGGGTCACGTACGCGGTCTCCATGGCATAGCTGAACTCGATGCCAAAGAGAATACAGCCGTTGAAGAGCAGCTCCCGGAAGGACCTCTGGGGGTGCAGGTCCCCAAAGTCCACCAGCTCGATCGGACATGGGGTGTTGGGGGGTGGGGGTGGGGAGGGGCGAATGCACTTCCTCCTCTTGGGGTGTCGTTTGAAGTTGTTGGCCCGGTGGCTGATATGCCGGGTCACGGACCCCGAGTAGCCCGAGATCTGAGACCTCCAGAAGTCCTGAGGAGCCAAACTGGGGAACAGGGCCTCTCCTGGAGGGGTGCTGCTCGCCGGGGGGATCATCGTAGGGGGGGCCGGTGGGTGTTCCTGTGGGGAAAGCCCGTTCGGGGGCGACAGTCACTCACCAGGGCCTCCACCATCAGAGTTCGTCTTTCCAGGTGGCTCCCTCCGCCCCCCACTTGACTGGCACCTGCTCATCCTTGTCATATGAGAAGGGACGAGTTCTGAGAGTCTCCCCCCAGAGTAGAGGCTCCTACTGCTTGCGACGTGGCTCAGCCGGCGCTCTGTCCCTGCTCAGGGGGACGACCCCAGTCCTTAGGTCCCTGCACTCAAGGGAACTGACCCCTAAAGAGGCTCCACGAGGAGGGCCAGGCAAGGAACCTCCTGGAAGGTGGGAGCAGCTAGGCTTCCCATGGCTCTGAAGGGTGCCAGGATATTTTAGGACCTACAGCCCATTTTCAGGATGAATTTTGCCCAGGGGACCAGACTTGGGGCAGGACCCACCTACAGGCGCCCTGAGCACCTGTGCCCGGTCAGGGGACAGCCCTTCCTTCATGGGACGGAAAGTCACAGCGGTCACCCCGCCTATCACTGTATCTCCTCCTCCCGGGAGGCTGGGGCCCTTGCCTAAAAGCAGATGCATGAGTTTAATTCCAATCCTTTCCTTACAACCCCTGTGGATGAGTGAATTTTTAGTCAAGTCAGGAGAACTGAGACTTTGATCATGTTGAAAAAGCTCTCTTTAAAGAAATAAAGCAAACACCCTGCATCCCACATGTCACAGATGACACCCTGAATAGAGATACTGTTTACCCCCCCAAAAAAGCGGGGGACAAAAAGAACCAGGGAGGGTGAGAAATAGATATCTTGCCTGAGAAGTATGCCCCAAACCCAAGACAACTTTCCCAACACTGATGGGTTTTCTAATGTTACAGGCCTTTTTTTTTTTTTTTTCAAAATTACTTTTAAGCTTTAAAAATGAGGCCCTTATTTCTGATGTTAACTCACCACCTTCCATCACATTATCACTAGTCCATAAGTTCTTTTTGAAGAACTCCGAAATGCCTCATCACTCCAGATTTGTGTCCTAAATTCCCCCCCCCACCCCCGCAAACACCATCCTATCTACTCAGGGATTGTCTTCCTTCTGTTGGGAAGACACCAGTGGTGGAAGTGATTTTCTTTAGAGACACCCCAGCAGGATTCAGAGCACTGTGTTAACCCACCAACCCATCCATCCATCCATTCCTTCTCCCTTCCCCCTACCCATCCATCCACCTACTTATCCATCCATCCATCCACATCCATACCACACGTCCACCCACTCCTCTTCTAATCTAGCCATCCATCCTTCCAGCCTTCCAAACATCCACGCATCCACCCATCCATCCATTCACCTACACACCCCTCCTCCCATTTGGCTGAGTACTAAGTACCAAGACACCAAGGTCACAGAGATAAAGGAAAGACAAAGTGTTTGCCCCCGAGTTGGGTGGAAAGTGGAGGGAAGGAGTTCTAAGCAGTGGGGAGCAGCTGCGTAAAGGAGATGTATGTGCAACAGTTGTGTGTCATGTCAGTGTGGTGAGAGATGAAGCCATTGGGAAGGGATTAGCTGACTATGAAGGGCCTTGTGGCTTGTGGTTTTTTGTTTTGTTTTAAAGATTTTATTTGTTTACTTGAGAGAGAGAGAGCACAGAGGCAGAGGGAGAAGCAGACGCCACGCTGAGCGCGGAGCCCAACTCAGGGCTCAATCCCAGGACCCTGAGATCATGACCTGAGCAAGAAGGGAGATGCTTAACGACTGAGCCACCCAGGCACCCCTGCTAAGAGGTGGATTTCATACTGAGAGGCCAGGGATGGACATACCCAGAGACCCAGTCTACTCTTACTTCTTGGACAGGTGGGGATAAGATGGCTTATCTTGTGACCTTAGAAAAATCCCATGCTATCTCTAAAGGAAGAACAGATATAGGCTGTGTAGGCAAAGTATACTTCATTAAAAACATAACTAGGGGCGCCTGTGTGGCTCAGTCGGTTAAGCGTCCGACTCTTGATTTCAGCTCAGGTCGTGATCTCAGGCTCGTGAGATTGAGCCCTGTGTCGGGCTCTGTGCTCAGCAGGGTGTCTGCTTGAGATTCTCTCTCTCTTCCTCTCCCTCTGCCCTCCTCCCTCCCACCACACACACCCACTCTCTCTAACATAAATAAATAAATATATTTTTAAAAACCCATAATTCATTTATGAAGATGAAGTCAAACTTAAATTTTTTAAAAAAAGCTAAACTTCTTGATTCTGTTCCTCCTGTTCTAGCTCAGCCCATAGTAAATACTCCAGAAAAATCTGTCCTTTGGCCAGTCTTGCCTTCAAAAACCCAGGAGGCTATTAGCATTCCCTGGAGCTTCTTCACTCATTCATTAAAACCACAGAAATAAAGTGCCCATTGGAAGACCACATAATAAGACCATCTCCTTAAAAGTCAGAAGGAAGACCTTTAGCACAGGTGTGTGGGGGGAGCTTGACCTGACCCCGCCTGTCCGGTCACGGCGCTACCCCCACCGCAGGGGTTACTCCCTCTCGGCCTCTCTACCTGCTCCTCGCCCCTTCTGCGCAGGGCACCGCTCTTTCCTATCAGCATTCTATCCCCATAAAGTGAACTTAAGTGCACGGGCATTAGAAACCTTGCCTTTCGTTTTAGAATGAAGAACCACGGCCCACTTTGGAAGAATTTCAGATTTAAACAGCATATGATGGGAGCATATTTTTGCAAAGGGGAACCTTTTCGGCCCTACTTAAAATGAACTATGTGGCTAGCCCATGTCTCTACCTGTGATGTGACCACTTCACCATCACCTGCCCACCATCCCCGGCTTTCAAACACAGACTGCAGCCAGTCCTAGCAAAAGGGAGACCCCCACACCCCTGCCTTACTACCCAGCATCTAAACCAGAAATGAAACCTGGACTTCGGAAAGGCTTCCCGGAGGGTTCATTTTCAACTTGAGGGATCAGTGTTACTATTTCCATTTCAAGAATACATTTATTAAAAGCTGTCCATGAAAGTTTACTCTAAGAAGAATGTTTGAAATTCATTTTTGAATGTTATAAAAAATGAAAGTGAAATTTAAAATAATGAAATAGCATTTTAATACATGAATATAAATATTTACCAGATCATCTTGCCATCCTGATCACACTCTATGAGTATTAGTTCAGTCCAAAAAAAATATGTATATCTGTTGCTGGCCCCACAAAGTTTCTAGGCTGTGCCTATTGTGCTTCTCGAATACAGAGGATGTTTCACGTAACAAATCCCTCAAAGTGGTATGGGAAGATTAAACCGCAAATGATTAATAAAAATAAACAATGCCCATGTAATTTGAATGCTAAAAATTACCCTACTATGAGCCAAATAATTTCTTCATTTCTCTCTCCTCTTTACACTTGGGGTCCCACGGGGCTACATCCCTTCCCCACTCTTCCTTCCAACAATTCCCAAAGTTAATACTTCAAGAAAACCTTGCCAAGCCAGCAAAGGGCTGCGTGGACCCGAAGGGGTGTATTTAATGCGCTGGTTACTGAATCGGGGCCCATTCCTCACTTCTGCTCTCTGGAATCCCGCCTCTCCCTGACTACCAATTGATCCCAGAAACCCTGGTCAGGTGCACACTGAACTTGGGCTTCCTTAGCACCTGACTCTACTTCCCCATAAAAGCTGAAAAACATAAACAGTATGATAACCTCAGAAATAATTTGAGAAGTTATTTGTTGATGAGATCAGAATGAACTGAAGTGCCATCAGCCTGCTCTTTCAACCGCGGCCAGAAAGCAGAAACCTTGGGCCATAAACTCATCATAAACTTAATGCCGGGATGCTGACAGAGATGCCATCAGGAGGGTTCAGCCTCAGGCGGGAGGCGAACCGGAAGCTGATGACACCTGCCCAGGTGACCCGGGATCAGGCCTCCGGCACCAATAAGCACAACGTAAGCCTGGGGCAAATTCCAGTGTGTGCTCTCCCTCCCAGCCAGGGTGAAATTAATCTGTCACCGGCCACTACCTCCTCCGGGCCGAGGGTTCCGCACTCAGGGGGCGACACCGGGGGCTCCATTCACAGGTCAGTCAGTTAGACATCAAGGAAGGACAAAGGTCTCCGTGCCAACCTCCAGCCCCAACCCTGGCACTCTGATCACCCGGGGGCCTACGCCGAGTCGCTCCAGCGCGAAGCCGGGCAGCTGTGCGGAGGGCGCGGGAGGAAACGGGGGTACCTGTGGGTCGAGACGGGAGGCATCCCTCTCCGAGGCCGGGCTCCTGCCTGGCCCGCGCGCAGCTCGGGTCCCCGCCCGGCAGCCCCCGGCCCGCGGCTGCGGCGGCTGCAGCATCACCCCGCGGGGCGGGGCCGTGACGTCACGCTGCATCCCGCCCGCCCGCGGCGGGGACCCGCAGAGCCTCCTTAAAGCGGCACCGCCCCGCCGCGGCCCGCAGCCCCGGCCGCCGGGGCGCTGCCCCCAGAGCCCCAGGAGCAGGCCCACTGTTGACTTGCAGCGGACCCCAGGCACTCCCCCCGCCACGCCAAGGCTGCGGTTTTCGTTTACGAATGTGTTGGTTAGGGAGACTGTGATAACACCATGTATTCAGATATTTTCCGTGGCCTAAGAGTTCTCATCCCCACGCCCCCACACATACCCACACCGATTCTAAAAGAAATGCACCCATTTTTGGCAATTCCTAAAAGCACTGAAAGCTCCGGGCACTGTGCCCACTCTACAGAACGGGTAAGTTGGCCCAGCCTAGAACTATTAGACTGCATTCACATACTCCCTTAATATGTATCAGGGCGTGCGTGCTCTATGCCAGACACTGATCTAGGGACCCGGGATACAGCAATGAACAAAACAGACAAAAATTCCCTCCCCTGTGGCACCACATTGTAGAGAGGGAGGGACACATTGAAGACAAATAACATGAATTAGGGACGTGCCTAAAGATGGTAACTCCCCAGAGAAGGAGCTAGAGTGTGGGGCTGGAGAGGGGGTGGTATTGCAGTTTTAAATAAGATTGTTCATGAGTCCTTATGGAGAAGGTGACGTGTGAAGAAAGACTAGGAGGAGGCCAGGGGGCCTGATATCTGATATCTGGGGGAAGGTCATGCCAGCAGAAGAAAGAGCAAGTGCAAAGGGCCTGGGGTAGAAGTGAGGTGGGTTGAATCAAATAATGATAGAGCAAATAGATAGCCTGTAGTGAAATTATAACCACAGAAAATGTTACAAGGGGAAGCTTGTGGCCCCATGAAAGTTTATAATAGGGAGAATTTGATCTCATTGGGAGGGTCGGGTGCTTCTTGAGGACAAGGGACACATGGGAGCACACTAAAGCTGAGTAAGGAGGGCAGTGTGTTCCAGGCAGAGGGGTCAGCATGGGCTGAGCTCTTGTGACAGGAGAGGGCATGGCAAGTGCAGGACTGAGGAACCAGTGGGGCTGGGATGCAGAGGCCAGGGCGAGTGGGGGCTGGGGAGGCTGGAGAGGCAGACTGGGCCCAGCCAGCAGCCTTCGTGGGCTGCTGTCATATTTTAAGAACAAGAAGAAGCTTAGAAGTGTTTGATGCAGGGAAGTGGATGGCATAAACCGGATTCATATTTCGCAAAGATCATAGAGCTCAGAGTGGAAAATGGGTTGGAGGGGACCAGGAGACCAGGTGAGTGCACCAGGTAGGAGCTTAGAGAATGGTCCAGGTGGGAGAGGATGGGGGGGACGGCAGAGGGATGAGGTGTGGATTGGTTAGGCATCTAGGAGGTAAAAGCAACAGGACTTGATAGATTGAGGGTAGGGGGTGTGGGAAGGAAGGAGGGAGGTGCCAAGTTTTCAGCTAGAGCACCTGGATGAAGGAAGGTTGACTCACTGGGCCAAGAGCAGGTTGGCTGGTGGGGTGATTGTCGCAGGTCGGCTTTGGGACAGAATGTGTGTGAGGCATCCAGGCCACTAGAGATCGGGGTCTGGAGCTCAGAGATGGTCCCTGGAGAATCAGCACACAGGGGCGAACTGCAGGCACACCGTGGAAGGTGGGCAGGGAGAGACGGAGCGGGACCTGGGCAGGGAGAGATGGAGGGGAGAGGGTCCCCGCTGAAGCCTGGAGGAGTCTCAGCAGTAGTCTCTGGCCAGGTGGAGGAGAATGAGCCATCTGATAACTGGTTCTACCTTATTTTTTCCTCTAAACAGGAGAAATGGTTTGGAAAAATACTAATGTGTTTTTCTATTTTGCATTTACACCCAAATGACTGGCTCTTCAGTTAGCAGAAAGGTCACAGCTGTAACTGAAAACCCTCAGCATCTCAGAGGCTTCACGCCATCAATGCTTCTCTGGGACTCCAGTGAAGTCCAAAGGGGTGTTCCTGCTGGGGGGGGGGGGGGGCCTTCACGCAGTCATTCAGGGACCCAGGCTCCTTCCACCGTGGCTCTGCCCGAGACAGGCTTGCAAGAGGCCCACATTCCACTCACTCACATGCCATTGCCTGTGACTCAGGGGCAGGACACACCCAGCAGCAAGGGAGGCCAGGATGTGTGGCCCCTGCCGTGGATGAGGAGGAAGTGGGTGTGGGGAGTAGCTTGTGCAGCTGCTTCTCTAGCTTGTATCAGCTTGGGGGGGGCGGGGGGAGGGAGGGGCTGGTCAGTGAACAAAAGCTAATAGCTCATTTCTGGTGTTCAAAATAGGATTTTGCAGCACGAGAAAAGGCTTGAAATCTAGGCATTGTGGAGAAAGAAAAGACTTTTACAAGATTCCTTTGACCATTTTTAACCTTCCAAAGTTAGAACCTTCCAAGATTAGAACCCTCCTTTCTTAACCCTCTGGGGGCTGCAGGGAGGGTGGGGTTTCTCCCTTTCTGTGGGTGAGATCTCCCCCTCTGGTCAGGAGGTCGAGGCAGGAGGCCCCAGTGGAAGGAGAGGGACAGACCTTTGGAGGAAGCCCCAGAGAAGCCCACCCCCCTGGCCCCTGGGCAGAGCCAGGAGGCCTTGTGTTCAGGGGACCACTCCCCCCACCCCCCCACCCCCAAGGGTCAAGCCTGGGCCCCACCCCGTGCTGGGAGGAGTATGTTCTGGGCTCAGCTGTCCCACATCAGTGTGGTGAGAGGCAGGGGGGCTCGGGTCGCCCTGCTCAGAACCAAGCTGCAGCACCCCCACGGAGGGGGCCGGCCCTTCATCTGGGTGTGCAAGGACAGCCTCCCCTCGCCCCCAGCAGGCGAGTGGAGACTGGCAGAGAGACCCAGAGGGGATCCACAGGCCCAGGCGGGGCACCTGCCGACTTCAGAGCAGAACCTGGGAAATCCGGGGTCCCTGGGTGACCAGTCTGTGGCCAGGAGCCCCGCCCAGGACCCCAGGAGGTCACGTGAGCCCCGCCCATTCCCGAGCAGCATCCCAGACAGGATTAGGAAGAACCCCAAAGGCTGTTAGTACCCTAAAGAGACCAAGTCAGACCCAAGGCACTGTTCAGATGAGCCCATCGGACTCAGTGTCACCCCAGGTGTGACCGAGTTGGTGCTTCCCTGGTACCCTCCGCGGGGCACAGTCGGCGATGGCTTTTGAAAAAGCTCCGATCGGGAACAAATAAGTAAACCCCAGTTCGTCCGCACCCCCTCCTCCCCCAGGGCGGTGAGCTGAGCAAACCTTCAGGTCAGCCAGTAGGGGAGGCTCATGAGCCGACCTCAGGTGGCGGCGAGGGCCCGCGGCGCACCTGCCATCCCGGGGTGTCCACCAGGTGGTGGAAGAGCCCCACCTTTGCGGGCCTGAGCGCGGCCGGGAGCGCACGCCTCGCGGGGGGCGCGGAGCCCAGCGTGTAGATCCAGCGCTTGTCCCGCACAAGAGGGAAGAGGAGATGGCTCTTTCTAAGCATGTTCTGACTTTGCAAGGATCTGTGGTCCCAAGACTGAACTGTTCTTTTTATTTATTTATTTATTTATTTTAAGATTTTTATTTTTTTATTTGGGAGAGAGGCAGAGGGAGAGGGAGAAGCAGGCTTCCCGCTGAGCAGGGAGCCCGATGCGGGGCTCGATCCCAGGACCCCGGGATCATGACCTGAGCTGAAGGCAGACGCTTAACGACTGAGCCACCCAGGCGTCCCTTTTTTTACTTTGTTAACGCATTTTCCCTGCAAAGCACACAGCCCCGTGGATTTTATGAATAACATTATTTTTAATAACAGATCTTGTGCCGGGCCCTGCGTTAAGGCTTTTATGTACTTTAAACCTCATTTACTTATCCTAACTTTATGAAATGGGTATTCTCGCCGCCGTGTGTTTCTGATCCGGAAGCCTGGGGCTCCCTGAGAAGGCAAGGCCTCACCGCAGTCAGGGTGGGAGCAGGGACGGAAACCCCAGCCTTGAGGACCCAGGCGCACGCCTCCTGCCCCAGGGGCAGGAGGCCACGGATGCGGTGTTTGCGGTCCTGCTGGGGGGCCTTCCTGCAGGCTTGCCCTGGCTGTTGGCGTTGAGCACCTGCTTTCCACCCGCACAGGGCTGGAGACATGTGGCCGATCCACGCAACCAGCCCGAGACCCACAGCCTTGCCTCGGTCCTCCTTCTCCGTCCCCCAGGGCTCCGGCTTCGGTCCTCTCTGACCAGCCCTGCCTGCCCATCCGCAGATGGCTTGTCAGGAGAGCTGCTTTCTGGCTCCTGGTTCAAAAGATGGAGGTACTACAGGGCCCAAGTGTTTGTGCTTGCGCTTGAGTGAGGACGCATGTGAGTGAAAGCGTGTGCTTACACAAATGTTGTAGAGAAAAGTGCCTTAATTTACGTGGACTTAACGAGTGTTTTGGTTTTTTTTTTTTTGAAGATTTTTATTTATTTCTTTGACAGAGAGACACAGCGAGAGAGGGAACACAGGCAGGGGGAGTGGGAGAGGGAGAAGCAGGCTTCCCACCGAGCAGGGAGCCCGATGCGGGACACGATCCCAGGACCCTGGGACCATGACCTGAGCCGAAGGCAGACGCTTACCGACTGAGCCACCCAGTCTGAACGCCCCGACTGAACGAGTTATTGACGCCCTCTGGTCAGTATTGCTTTTCGCTCTTCAGGGAAGCCTCTACTGACACGAGGCCCTCCACACACACACGAACGCATATACACAGGTACGTGCCTACTTCGTGCACATAAGCACGTGCACACCCACGCAGTTGGCCTGCATGCACGCTCATATGTATGCACGCTGGTAAGCACGCGGATGCGTGTATATGCACACACAGTTCCCATTGCCAGAGCTCCTCCTGCTGGGGAAGCAACAGCCACCCCAAGACTCCGCACTTGAACCCAGAAGGTATGTTTCCAGGAAGAAAAAGTCCCCAAATTAACGGTCCTCTAATTACAATGTGTAGCAAACACCAGGAACATGGGACAACCCAATTCTC